ATTTATTTATTTTTAAGTAATGGTGGTTCCTCTGCCACGGAGTCTTTTGTTAAACATAAACAAGCGCCCTCTGGTGTTTGTCAGGAAGAAAAGGTTTTCTTAGAGAGAGGACATCCTCCAGCTGTCTTCCATTGCTTCAATTCAAAGTTTCCATAATAAGTGAAATGAACACATTAATAACAATAGCATTTTCCCTTGAAGGTTGAAGCCAAAGCCAAAAATATGATGTTGTGCTGTTCAAATATAATTCAATTTAAACTAGATCAAAAATCAACTTGTTAAATGTTTTAAAGTTTTAAACTATTGTATTCATATATTTAAAAAGTGGAGAGAGCCCTGACCGGTTTGGCTCAGTGGATAGAGTGTCGGCCTGCAGACTGAAGGGTCCCGGGTTCAATTCTGGTCAAGGGCATGTACCTTGGTTGCGGGCATATCTCCAGTGGGGGGTGTGCAGAAGGCAGCTGATAGATGTTTCTCTCTCATCAACCCTCTATCCCTCTCCCTTCCTCTCTGTAAAAAATCAATAAAAAATATTTTTGAAAAAATTTAAAAAAATAAAAAGTGGAGAGAGGTGACATCAAGAATAATATTAATCTTATGCCCTGCATCATTTAATTTTAAAATGACCACAAATTTTGTGTCACTGGAAAGCCTCAGAATAAGCCAAGAGGAAGATAGGAATTGGATGAAGGAAAGCATTGGCTCAGAATACAGTGTCCATTCAGAGAGCTCGCTGTTTAGGGAAGGGACTGATGGCTGCATTACTGCTGCACAGGGTGCTTTGTGTGGAGGCAATCTCAGACTTGCCCGAAAAAAAGCTTCTGGAGTTTATGCTTGCTATGATATGCTTTCTTTCTTTTTTGTTTTGTTAATCTTCACCAGAGGATTTTTAGAGAGTGGAAGGGAGGGAGAGAGAGAGAAACATTGATGTGAGAGACACATCCATTGGTTGCCTCTTGCACGCACACCTAACCTGCAACCCAGGTACCATTCGGTGCACAGGCTAACACTCTAACCACTGAGCAACCGGCCAGAGCTATTATATGATTTCTGCATTCTCTTCCCTGACCAAGGGCCCCTTGCTTGGGTTAGGCCTGGGAAGTATAAAAACATTCCAGGTATAATCATGGCATAATCCACTGGCCAACACCAGGTGAAAGGAGAGAAGTCTGAAACGCCACTTTTCTGTCCTGGGGCAACTGTGCAGTGGTTAGCAGTGGTCTGTGTGGTGGGTCACCCTGCAGTCCATTCAGGTGCTGTAGCCCTTTGTGACAGAGCTGAGCCAAAACAAAACCACACCACACCAGATGCAGCAAGTGGGCATCCACCAGTGTCAGACTGAAGTTCTCCTCCTCTTAAATAGGACCCATGAGTCAGTCTTGCTAATGCCAAAAGGAAGTACCCGGCCCCCATGCCTTGCATGCAGACAAGTGTCCTGGCCTTGAACCATGTCTTAGGTCAGCTTCTGTCCTTGCACACACAGAGAAGCATGCACATACACGTGCACCCCCACACATCCTTTCTTCAGAAGCCACATTTGGGTTGGGATTTCATTTTAACAAATGCTTCGTGGGAACTCTGAAACAGAAGCTCCTGAATTGAGAAATGGAGTCAGCTTCCCGGAGAAGAGCGCCGTTCGCTCTGAGCCAAATCTGCCTGAACAGTTATTTGTGCTCAAGTGCCATCGCTGTTGATGGGAATCTGGAGTGCAGCACTGAAAACAGCATTTAGCCCAGTGAGCCTAAGCCTTTGAATCTCTGCGGTGATTCGGTTTCACCAGTGATTGGACCACCCAGGAGCCACGGGATGCGTGGAGCATTTCAAGATCTGCCTGCTTTCTTGACAGTTTTCCCTTTGAAGCTTAAAGCTCTTGAGTGTACAATGTCAAACTGCTCAGCACACTTGGGAAATTTCCTAGTCTGTCATCCTGAGATACAGTAAAAATTCAAAGGGTAAATCAGCTATGAAAGCCAGCTGCTTTGGGTTGAGCTGTGACGGATGGCAGAGGAATGCCATCTGATTTTGCAGCATTCTGTAGCATTCTGTAATCCTAAAGCTGGTCATCACAGCAGCCTTCATGCATGGTTTCTGGGACCATTTTATGTTATAGCACTTTCCCATGTCAGGGAAATTTCCGGTTTTGAAATACATTATTCCCACCCACCCCCACATATACATATACATATACAACATTTCCTTCTCCTAAATTTAATCTGGTGTTTACACGGATTATTTATAGGAAAGTCAAGCTTCAAGAAAGAGCCAACTGGCTGAGAAGGAAAGTATGGATACCATTAACCACGCAACTCAGCTTGTAGAGCAAGCCCACGACATGAGGGATACAATCCAAGGTAAATATATCCTCTCTGGTTCAGCTCCATGTCAAGGCATCATTCCTGTTATTAACAACAATAAAAACTAATAGCTACCGTTAGTGCTTACGATCGTGCCAAGAACTGTTAGTGTGCTATAGGTTTGAACTTATATGAGGTCTGCATTTCAAGTTGGTTACCTGGGATTTCTGAGCACTCATCCTTCCTTGCAATCTGTAAGTTTTCAAGAATAAATGTACAGAGTCACCAACTTTCCAGGCCTTTTACAGAAGGGGAAATGCCAAAATATCTTTTCAGCAGAGGAAATCGCATGCCATGGTGTCTCTAAAATGCAGCAGTTGAACAGGATTCACGTTTTTCTTGATGACTGGCAGCAAAAACACTGCTTTTAGAGGGGCAGTAAACTGTCTACTAACCCAAATGGCCCTGAGCTGTCTCTGACGCGCTTTCCCAAGAATCAGGCAGGCAACATGCTCTGGTCCCCAATCCAGACAAAAAAACAGGGAGGGGTGTATGTGTGAGATTTCTTGGCCCAAAAGCTTGTGGTAATTTGACCTTTCCCCCTTGAAGGTTTGCTTACTTGTGCTCTGGCCTCTGGTAAATACAGGTTGCATTTTAAAGCCTATTTTGATGGTGCATTGAAAACCAGCTTTCATTTACCAACAGAAAAGAGGCAACTTTGTTCTAAGATAAAGAGAAATTCCTTGGGTTACAGTCTGCTAGGAAGCAGTGTGTGTGTGTTCCCATAGTTTTTATTATCCTATATATTCAGAGCTGGATGACAAGACCAACTGCACCCCAGGGCACAATGGCAGTAAAGGGACCCACAGTGGGAGATTCATATCTTTATACTGAGGTATAGGGGGCATATTCCAAGAAAATGGATATACTGAGCCAAAATTAATCATTTGCTATATTTCCTTTGGTGCTTATAATGCACAATAAAACAAATGGCATACATTTGAAACACTTCCCACTCCCATCCTAATTATTGCATGCTTTTGCATCTCCCAATAAAATACTCTTTTTCTCTAACATTTTAGAGTTAGTATTGATTTGTTCTAAGAGTGAGATTAAGCCTAGATTAGCTGACCTCATCTAATTAAGGAATAAATGTCCCTCTAGGTAGCAAATAAAGTCAGCGTTCATCCTAGTAAGCCATTCAGAGAAAATAAGTTACTTTTACTTCTGTAACTCAAAGTTTTATTCTATAGCATTTCATTAGGAAAGTTTCTAAGCCCTCTTATTTAGAAAGTTTCTAAACCCTTTCACCCAGCGACTTTTAACCTTTTTCATCTAATGGCACTGACTACTAAAATTCCGTGGCACACCAAAAAATATATGATATAATTTTGCCAATCTGACCAAAAAGAAAGGTATAATTTTGATTCATTCTCACCAGACAGCTATTGCCATCTTTTTATTTGTCAGTTTAAGGGAAAAGAGGTCCGTATCCCTGACTAGATGGGTATTGCATGTTTTAAAAATTCTTGTGCACACCCGTGTGCTGTGGCACACAGGTTGAAAATCACTGCTTTAAGCATAAGAAAAAATGAAAAAATTACCAAAGAATGTAAATGGGAAACTAATTACCATCAGTTTTTACCTTTTCATAATAATGTATGAACAATCTCCAAAGAGCAGTGGCAAAAATGCTATTGTCTGTATTTCCTTTTTCTAATCTCTACCAGAAGTGGCTAAAATAAAACAGATCAGAATTGTATGTATAATATTTTTATCAAAACACCAAAGAATTAGCCTTGCAAATACTAGTTCTAAGGGGGGGGGGGACCTATGTTTAGTTTATTTCAGGAGTTAGTGTTTTAAACTTTCTTGAAAAGTGAATGTTTAAATCCCTTCATAAGTTTTTTTTTTTAGCATATCTTGGTGTCCCTATAATTTTCTGAGTAGTATTTCTAGTATTAAAACTTCTTTCCTCATTTATCTCCCTTTCTTCACAATTCAGGAATGCTGCACAACACCACTAGTGTGTCATTCCTATTCCCAGCCATCTCTAAAATAACTACTGGCGACCTTCAAGCTATTAGCCATAGAAAATACAAGCCCTTATTTGGTATAACTTATGTGACAACAGTGTTTGTCTGCCAAACCACATATCACAGTAAACCACAGACACACGGTTTCATTTATGCCAGGAAGATAGAATGCTTCCTCCTGGAGCTCCTATAGCACAAGTTGGCAATTATATAATTTTCATCTGATCATCTGTAGTAGAAACAGGGAGTCAAAGAACTATTCAGCTCTGCTAATATTTCGGCAACTCATTTAATCCCTCTGAACCTCAGCAGTCCCTCCAGTTCTAAAATTCTCCATCCTACTTCTGGACATGGGGTGAAAATGACCCAGAGTCAAAATACCAACAGTCATATACAGAAGGCAGATAGCAATTGCAAAAAAAAATGCATATGAGAAGAAATTCATAAACCTTTTTGGTATATCTACTCTGTAGAACCACCTGAAAGACTCACTTGAACAACTACAGTATACTCTAATTTTGGCTTAAAGCCTTGATAAATCCTTGGCTAAAGTATGATTAATGTCGCCAATGTATCCTACATATGACAGGAGATACCTCAGAACATTTTCTCCAAGTTATGTATTTTATATAAAAGGTTGATCAAAGACTGCAGACTTGTGTGCCTTAAATATTAATGTTTTTGAATCACTATGTAAATGTGATTCAAAAACCAGACACAGGTTTCCATGAAATCAGGACAGTCGTTGTGTTAATCCCATTCCCGTTCTGAAGACACCAAATAGGAAGCAAAGAGGAGTGATTTCCTCAGGTTTTACTTCTCCCTGGAATCAACATTGAACTCAGATGCCGGCATCAGTATTTGCAGTGTGAACATCAGTATGCCCGTCCTCCCCCGTGTTTTCAATGGCATCGCTGTAAAAGGCCCAGTCATTTCTCCCCACTGCCTTCTCTCATCATGTCCTTCCTTTCAGAGATCAACAACAAGATGCTGTACTACGGGGAGCAGCAAGATCTTAGCTCTGAGGAAATCTCTGAGAAGCTGGTGTTGGCCCAGAAGATGCTGGAAGAGATTAGAAGCCGTCAACCATTCTTCGCTCAACGGGAGCTCGTGGATGAAGAGGCGGACGAAGCCCATGAATGTAGGTCCATTCAGCTCCTGGAGCCCAGCACATGTCTGCTTTCTTTGTGGGTCCAGGAGAGGACATAGAGACACAGGGCAACATTTGGTCAAAACAGCCAATTCCCAATATTCACAGCTATTTGGAACTTGTATGTGTCCTCAGGGAATCATTCAGCACAACTTGACTATATGACCACGATTTTTAGATCCAGGCCCAACCTTAAGCTTTTGAGAAACAGCTGAGGTTCCATAAGGAATCTATAGAAATTTCACTCCTGAGGAGAAAAACAGGGACTTAGTAGTTGATGAAAACATGAGAAACGGAAAGGAGGGCTAATGGAAACCAATTCCCAGAACTACAGTTGAGAAGCCAGTAAAGCTACAAGCTCAGCAACATTCATGTTCTGAGGTCCATGAATGACTTTTAGTGACTTTTAACCTCAGTGGGAATTTAACATTTCCTTTAATGATGCATGTAGACATCAAATCACAATAGTACTAGTGAACCTCTGAGTTAGTCCCTGTATCAGTTATCAGTTACTGTCTAACAATCCACCCAAACATATTCATTTAAAACTATAACCATTTATTTATCATGATTTCATGGGTTGGCCACTTGGGCTAGATTCAACTTGGACAGCTCTTCTCTGCTCCAGGAGCCATGGTTGAGCTGACTCACATGTATGGGGCCTTAGCTGAGAAGGCTGGGCTTCTCTCTCCATGTCTTAGGAAGGTAGCCCAGGATTGTTCATATTATGGCTTCCTTCCTAGAGGGCAAGAATGGAAAGTGTAAGGTCTCTCGAGGCCTATCCTTAGAACCCAACAATGCCATATCCATTCTGTGGGTCAAGACCAGCCCAGGTTCAAGGAGTGAGGAAATAAACTCCACTCTTGATAGGAAGAGTTGCAAAGCATTTATGTCCATTTTAATCTACACAATCAACAAAAGAAGCAACAGGTTTGCATATCATATTATGGCTATTGCTGGTATCTCGAAACATTAAGCTCATCAATAATTCAAAATTACAGTGGTTATTAGTCCCACCTCTAAATCTTGTTACTTAATGCATTACTAAAGAAGCACATATATTACCAAATTGTTTTTTAATATATTGGTCTCCCTTGTAATTGTATGTATTTTACTTTATGTATTTTAATAAACATTTTAAGAAGGGGTCTGAGGGTTTTACTATATTACAGAGGGCCCTGCAGCACAAAAAGGATTAGGAACACCTGCCCTAGATCATTTTCTTGCAATTGTCACTATCAATTTCTGCTAACAATGAATGTGAACACGCTAGAAGAGGAATATTCTCAATATAAGGCATAGTACCATGGCAGACATATAAAGTCATAGAAACAGTAAAACCAAAGTAGAATCTCAGGCCCCATGTCTGAGTCAGGATGAAGCCAGCAGTCAGAAAGGCTGAAGTCTAATGTCACAGTCAGATACTTCTATGTTCTTTGCCTTTTTTGGAATTTAATAAGACTTCCCTGGAGAAATGGGACTAGTGAAGGCATTTTCAACCACTTTCTTTACTCAGCCATGAACTTTTGTCTTCTGTTCATGGTGATGAAAGAAAATACAAAAAAAAAAAGAACAAGTCAAATTGATGTTCCCTGAAGGAAACGTGGAATGAAGACACAAAGTCAATGCATGCAACTTTGACCAAAAAGCTAAGACACATATACCATTACCATTTAATCTTCTTCCCACCCAAAATAATGATTTAGATTTGACCTAAAGGAGCTAACTGGAGAGAACAGAGAAAATGAATGGTTGTAAACATCATTTGTCAGTAACACACAAGATAATTTTTGTTATTTTAATAATAAGACTATAATATATCCAAATGCATTTTATATGGTAAAATTAGAAATAATCTGGGTAATAATCAACATAGTATAATTGCATGGTTTCCACATAAAATGTAATCTTTATTGCTTTTGAAGGCATGGTCTGAGAAGTTTTTATCTCTGCTAAATGCTGGACGGAATGGGAGGAGACGAGAGAAGCCCAGACTGAGTTTCCATGTCATTTTTCTTCCAGTGTTGAGCCAGGCTGAGAGTTGGCAGCGGCTGTACAATGATACCCGCTCTCTGTTTCCCGTGGTCCTGGAACAGCTGGAAGACTACAATGCTAAGTTGTCAGACCTTCAAGAATCACTTCACCAGGCCCTTGACCATATCAGGGATGCAGAAGACATGAATAGAGCCACGTCAGCCAGGCAGCGGGACCACGAGGTACAGTGGACGATTCTAACTGGAAATACATTTCAGGCATGAACAACACAAATGTATGCCAAATGTAGAGTTGGTATACAATTTTTAAAAATACTGGTACATTTAAATATTCATATTTTTAAAATATTTTTGCCACTGTAATTTGCTGATGTAAATGTGTACACCTACAACCAAGTGGAGGCCGTTAGAATTGTTTGCCTTTTGCATTGATAAGAATGCAGTCGTTCTTGGTGCTTGGGTCCACATGTCTGAATGTGTTGCTCTTGCAAGTGAGAAGTATGGCAGTATTCCTATGCCTAACTTTTTCTTTTTTCTTTTTTTTATAAATATATTTTTATTGATTTCAGAGAGAGAAAGGGAGCGGGGGAGAGAGAAACATCAATGATGAGAGAGAATCATTGATCGGCTGCCTCCTGCATGTCCCCCCACGGGGGATTGAGCCCACAACCCCGGCACGTGCCCTTGACCTGAATTGAACCTGGGACCCTTCAGTCTGCAGGCTGACGCTCTATCCACTGAGCCAAACCGGCGAGGGCTGCCTAACTTTTTCTTATACGGAGAGCACTAGAACACCAAATCAGCCCTGCATTATGTTCATGTAAGGATGTGTGTAAATTCTGGAAAGGTGTGGTAAGTAAATCTCACAGCCAGGCTACTCAGCAGCTGCAGACATAGGGTGTCTAATTCAGGCCAAGGTCATGCAAATACGAAGAGGTGAGGAAAATCCCAGATGTGTCCATAGCTTGCAAAGGCAGTTGTCCCTATGGGGCCAGAATTTGTGCATGCCCACAAATCCAGGGCTCAGAATTGCTGTGGTCACATGTGTGCTTCAGGCAATGCATGCACTCACAGCCACCACCATCGAGGGCAATCATCTGATAGGAAGACATGTGCATCTTTGGGCATGCTTATAAATATTAGAGTGAAAAATAGGAAACAGCTATGAGTAAACTCATTGATTCAGTTATGTTTATTTTTATGGTTGGCAAAATCGGCTTAAATTAGGCTCTCTACCCTGATTTTCAGTCATCACTATCTCCCATGACCATCCGACCCTTTGACCTCCGATGGTAGCTATGACACACACTGACCACCAGGGGGCAGACGCTCAATGCAGGAGCTGCTGAACTGCTGTGACTTGGCAGCTGCAGTTCTCAGGTGACGCACCCAGAACCAGAGAGGAGGGAGCCCGATTCTGGGGTGCATCACCTGAGAACCGCCCTCTCAAAATCCAGGACCCCTCAGGGGATGTTGCATGGTTATTTAATAAACCAGAGAGCCGGTTTCAGCCCAATCCCCGCAGGTCAGGCTGAGGGACCCCACCTGTGCACGAATCCTTGCACCAGCCCTCTAGTTTTTAGAATAATGATGGTCAGGATAGCATCCTTTGTTAAGTAAATGCATGATTATCTTACACAACAACATTTTATAAGTATAGCACAAAATAATAATTTCCTCAAGTAGATTTCAAGGGAATTACTGGGCTTCATCCTTATTCTTGAATTTCTCCTCTTTCTCACCTCCCACATCTAGTCAACCACAAGTTCCTGCCAATTTTACCATTGGAATATTTTTAGCTTTCTATTTTCCATTTCTCTATAACTTCTCTAGTTTGGGCCTTCATTTCTCAACCAAAATAGCTTCCTCCTGTCTCTCCTCCATTTTTGCTCCCTTCCAACCCATCTTCCACATCCTGCTAGAGTGTTCCACCTAAATCTCTGACCATTACCTTTTGCTCTTTCTAAAAGCCTTCATTTTCTCCTCACGAGAGTGCCTTTGACACTACAGCTTGTGAACCATTTAGTGCAGCGATTTTCAACCTTGTACATCTCATGGCACACATAAAATAATTACTAAAATTCTGAGGCACACCACAAAATATATTTTGCTGATCTGACAAAAAAATAGGTATAATTTTGATTCATTCACACTATATAGCTATTGTTGTGTTGGCTGTTGTCTTTTTTTTTTTTTTTTGACAATCTAAAAGAAAAATAGTGACCCTGACTGAAAGTCAGATATTGTATTTTTCAAAATTTCTTGTGGCACACCAGTATGCCTGCCTCAGCACACCAGTTAAAAATCACGAACTTCGCGAATCAAAATAAGTTTTGAATGCTATAACCAGCATTTTTTAAAAGGGGGGGTAATAAATAAAATAGAAAATATCCAAGTACATAATCTAGACTAAGGAATAGTTTCACAACATTTCTACTTTAGTTACATATGTTTACTGGATTGCGACATAAAATACATTTTTTACTGTGGGTTATGGTAAAAAACAAGTGAAAGACACTGTCCTATAGGAAAGTCTATGCTGTTTCACATGGCATACAGATGCCTCTCTGATGGGCCCGTGCCAGCCTCCTCAGCCATACCTCTTGCCTTTTCCCTGCTTCACACATTCAGTTCAGACAATCTCACTCTACAATAATCCCATGTGCCTGGAAGCAGACTTCTTCTCCTTGATACCTGGGTGATCCCCAGGTTTTGCCTCCTCCAGGAAGCTACCCCATCCTTCCAGATGAGCGGGAGCTCCTCTCCAGCAATCCCATAGTGTGCCTTATGCTTATTTCCTTCTGTATTGTGACCATCTGTTAGCGGATCTGTATCCCCCACTCAACCAAAGCATTTTAATTTTATTAATTATTATAACCCCCAAATCCAGTCTTTATACAAAACCAAAAAAAATCATTTCGATGTCTGCTAACAGCAGCCACAGATCTAATAATTACATATTTATCTCACTATCCTACTCCCAACACCAAAAGGTAGCAGCATGATAAAAATATTTTTCAGATAAATATAAAATTTTATATTTCAAAAGTAGGTTAAATACTCTTTTAAAAACACTGTTTAGAGAGTCTTATAAGCCAAAGCTCTGCCTTCCCAGGACTGCTTCTATAATTTATTTTAGGATCAGGAAACTTTTTTTTTTTGTATATGTGCAATGGATACTTAGCATGCAGAATAGTGCTAATTATGTCATTTTCATAATTATTTTGAAAACTTTCTTTTGTTCAAGTTGACCATCTTTCTGTAGGAATATCTTTATTTGTTTCAAAGCTAATTTTATTCATTCTGTCTAACGGTATATATGATAAGTGGGGGAAACCCTTTAATTTGAAGCATATCATTTTCCAACTACTGCAAATGAACTTGCTATACAGTGCTGTGAACACTCGGCTTTGAAGTTTGGCTATGACCTTGGGGTGTTAGCAGTGTTCCCTTAAGGTGACCCAGACTCAGGGCTTCCAGATGGGGTTTTAGCTCAGACTCTGTCAAAAGAAAACTGCTCTGATAGAGCTAATGCCAACCGTTTTCCATCTCCCTTCCTTATACACTTTAAAATATTGCTTTTGTGCAGAGCTGTATAAATACTGCTCCTTATGGAGATAAGAATAATTAACCCCAGATAGTCACACTGTATTAAGCTTGATGGATATTGAGGGGAAATTGATATTTTTAATGTCCTTGCATTAAGGGGATGTTCAAATGAGATTCTTTTCTGTCCCTAGACCTTTATCTTCCCCTGTAGCAACACATTTGGAGAAAATGGACTCCATCTTTCTTTCCACTAAATCAGGAAAGACCTCAGGAAGTAAGGAAGACATTAAGATGAACTTAAGTTTTAATGAATGTCCTACTATAGCTGAGCTTCTGTAATTATTTCTAGGATATCCTAGATTATACCATAGCTTATATATTTCAACCCTAACTTAAATTACCATTTTCAAAGTAACTTTAACTCATTTTTTTATTGTAATTAATTTTTTACTTTTTTCTCTTAAAGTTTCATTCTTGTTTGAATTCACTTGAAGCTCCATAATATTTCTTCAGAATCACAACATCCCTGTCCAACAGTGAAGGTGAAAATTATAACATTCATCAAAAAATATATCAGTGCCCTAACGGTTAGGGCCTAACCAGTTTGGCTCAGTGGATAGAGTGTCGGCCTGCGGACTGAAGGGTCCCAGGTTTGATTCCGGTCAAGGGCATGTACCTTGGTTGCAGGCACATCCCCAGTGGGGGTGTGCAGGAGGCAGCTGATCGATGTTTCTCTCTCATCGATGTTTCTAACTCTCTATCCCTCTCCCTTCTTCTCTGTAAAAAATCAATAAAATATATATATATCAGCAACTTAGACAGGTTCCCTCCTCAAAAATTCTGAGCATCTAACATAATGAGCTCAGAATGGGAGAAAGCAAAATCACAATTTTGTGCTTTAATAATAGAGCCATTTTAAATTTTACAAAGGACATTAAGATTATTCTGTATATGCTTTATTCCTAACCAAATGAGCTATTTGTGCCCCAAGTTAGCACATGATACTTTTCTGAATTAATTTATTTTCCAATTATTGCAAAAATATAGAGCCTACATTCAATCCTGTCTTCATAGTTCCACTTTACATTTATGGAGAAGTGAGTGTTAGCTCTGAGATGATGATGTTTTAAGTATTAATCTACAAGCTTCAATGCTCCCAAGGTGCCTCCTTTTGTTATATCTGTGTCATGGTGAGGAAACTAAGCATTCAAAGGGTAGAAGTCCCCAAAGCACACAGCAATTAGGCGGTGGGGCTGAGATTGGAACCCGGATCTGTCTGGGGCAAGGACAACGAGTGGACGTTGACCACTCTCTGATGCTTTCTCTAAAGCCCCCTTCTCTTCTTCTGTCCTTTATTCTTCCTTCCTACAGAAACAACACAACAAAGTGAGAGAACACATGGATGGGGTGAATGCCTCCCTGAGGACATCTTCAGACTCTCTGGTAACGCCTCGTCTGACCCTTGTAGAACTTGATGAAATAATAAAGGTAAGGACACATGTGACCTGTTCAGGTTTGTACTGATAGCAGATTAGAACAGCAGCTCAGTGTCACAGAATAATTGAATCCAATTCAAATCTATCAATTTGGCTGGCATTATAAAACTAAGATCAGGTGACTAAATCTTTCAGTTTCTTTTGTTGAATGGTGGCCACTAGCCACATATGGCTTCTTAAATTTAAATGATTTAAAATCAAATTAAATTAAAACTTTAATTTCTTAATTATGTTAGCCATAGTTCAAGTGCTCAATAGTGCCACATGTGATCACCATCTCAGTCTTTCAGCACCAAACTCCCTATCTTCCTCTCCATCCCTATTCCCTTGAACTCGTGTTCAACAAGCTTTTCCTTCAGTCCACCTCTGTCATCTCTCTTATGGCCATACTCTGGTCATCAATAACAGTACCTCCTCCCAAACCCAGTTTCAAGCACCTCCCACCCTAAGCACCATCTCTTATCTTACTCTAGAATTCCCACTCCAACAATTCTCTAGCCACGTGGAGACCTCCTCTACTTCATTTATCCTCTTCTCCTATCCTCTCTTCCCTCCTTAAGCAGCTAAAATGATGAATATACTCATTCTTTGCAAACACCCTTAACTTCCATACTATGCCCCTACTGTACTCACCTGAGAATTCTAACCCTATATCCCCAATAAACCCAAGTACACCCAGCATCCAGTGCAGCCAACATGACTGGTGTGAAACCCATTTCTTCTTCTATCAGTCTGGCTGGTGAATTTGCTTCATGCTTCACTAAAAAATTAAGAACAAAGAGAACCCACCTCATATTTCCTCCCTAAATCTACCAGCTCACCTGTATCTGTATCCAGATGTCTTCCTTCCTGTAATAAATAATAAAGTGTCCCTTCTCTGGATACAGCCTCATTCCTCCACCTGCTTTCTTTATTCTATCTTTCCTCACTTTGAAGACAGGGCAGTAGGGTATGGCTCCAGAAAGCATGCAATCTCTCTTCTGGGTCACCCAGTTCTTACTCTTCACTGATCATTACTGCCAACATACAGACCTGCTTTAATAGCCCTTGTCTTTCAAAAATTAAAAAGAAAAAAGACCTGGCTTACATCCCCTCAAATTTCCACCTCAATACTACTAGTATTCTCAGCATCACAGCAAAATATCTTGAGCCATTTAAAGTTACTGTTTCCACCCCACCCTCCAGCTCCATGCTGTGTACTGTACTCAACCCACTCCAAATGGGAGTCCCTGCCCCTCCGCCGAGGCTGTGCTTGTCCAAGTCACCAGCAACCTCAACATAGCCAAAACCATGGTTGCATCTCCCTCCTCAGCATTCTCAGCCTTGCACTGCTAACCTTCCTTCCTTATTTAAAGACACTGTCCTGGCTCCTCCAATACCCCACTTACCTGGCTCTCCTCCTCCTCATTGGCCATTTCTTCCCAGCCTCCTTTGCTGGCTTCACCGCTGCACACCCTCTCAGAGACAAATATTTGAGGCTCTGCAGGCTCCATGCAACTGCTCTCCCTTATTCTCTTCTTGGTTTTTGTTTATTGTTACTTTTTTACAACCCCTTAAAAATGTAAAAAAATATTCTTAGCCGGGAGCTATACAAAAAACAGCCTCAGGCCGTACCTGGCATTGGGCCAGGTTGATCCCTGCTCTGGATAATGAATGGCTCAGTACTCAGTCATGGGGCCTCTTTTCTATTTATATTCTCTCTCCATTTATTCCCATTGAATCCCATGACTTTAAAATCTAATTATATGTATTATTCCACAATGTATACCTCTGACTCTAATGCCTTCCCTGAGGTCCAAATTCTTACATCTGAATGCTTACTTGACATTTTCAAGTATGAACTCAGCATGGTTTGTAGCGAAATCACAATTTCATCTACCACTTTGATATGTAATAGGCATCTCAAATCTAAATATTCTGAATAAAATCTGCTTTTTCCCTAGTCTCCCCCACGTCAATACATGGCACAACCCAATAGCTCAGTTCAAAATTCTGGACTCATTCTTGATTTCTCCTTTCTTCTCACTCCCATTTCAGCAAGACCTGTTGGCCCTGTCTCCAGATTGAATGCTTACCCTCTTCTCTGCTACTCCTCTTTAGTCTAAGCCTCCTCATCTCCAGTGTGACCTGCCACAGAGCCTCCTACTGATCCATTTGGCTCTACTCTTGACCCTCAAGACTTATTCTCTATGCAGTTGCAGAACAATCCTTTAAAAACATAATCAGATCCCATTATTTCCCCACATAAAACCTCCTGTGACACTTTAAGTAAGAAACAAGCTTATTTTACCATGGCCCATGTGTCCCTAAGTCACCTCATGCCCCACAATTCCCCTCCCTCACAACACTCAGACTGTTACACTCTAACTCCTCTCTAATTTTCTTACCCACTACCATATTTTTTCCTACCTCAGGACCTTTTCACCTCTGTCCTGAAGTTTTCAAATGGCTAGTGTCCTTGTGACCATTCAATCTAAGTGGGCCTCTTACTTTCAATCACTCTCCAACCCATCTGACCTGTTGTATTTTATTCAAAGTACTTTCACTCCCTGAAATTAACTTTATCAGTTATTTGATCCCTTTTTTTATCATCTGCATCTTCCCACCAGATTGTAAATTCCTTGAGAGCAGAGAATGTGTCCACAAATATCTATCCTATCTCCTAAAAGAGTGCCTGACACATAGTAGGCACACAATGAATGTTTGTTGAATGAATTAATGAATAAAGGTGAAATATCCATGGCATTTTTTCTGCTTATACAATTAAAAATATTTTCTTCATTGTATTGTTCCCCATATGAGCAACCAAATAGCTAGAGGTTTAATACTGTCTTCATAAAAATAAACCCTATATGCCAGGAAGTGTACTATACTCTGGGAATACAAAAATAAACATAGTTTCTATCTCCCAGGATTGTGTAACCTGGTGAGTGTAATATTCAAGTGAAAAGATTACAGTAATGAAATACGTGGCTTAAAAAAATATGTGGCCATACTGAACTCACCCTGCAGAAGTCAGGGATGGATGGCTTCATCAGGGAAGTGATCATTTGAGCTGAATTTGGAAGGATGAGTAGAATTTTTCCAGGTGGATGAGACAGAAAAGAAGGGAACAGTATTCCCCAGACAGATAAAATAGTATGCGCAAGGACACAGTGGTCAGAAAAATTATGGAGCATTGAAACAACAATCAGTTACTCAAGTGTGGACCATAGGTGTAGTAGGGTGAGGAGTGGTGAGAAATGAAATTCGGTGAGAGGAGGAGTCAATTGATGAAGACATGCTAAGGAATTGGATTTGCACCTGCAAAGCAATGGCTGATTTTGAGAAGGGAGATAACATAATCAGATTTGCTTAACAGAAAGATCAGCATTCCTTCAGGATGGCAAAGAATGAGTTCGAAGACTAAAAGACTGGGCTCACAGAGAGGAGTTAGAGTTCTCGGTAAGAAAAGGGCTGAGTCAAACTCTAAGGAACACCAGCTTTTAAGGTTTCTTTCCTGGCCAGAGAAACAGGAATCCAACCAGGAGAGAGCAGCATCACAGAAGCTAGCTTTGGTGAGTTTAGTTTTGTTTGCTTTCAGATCAGAGATGGCAGAGCATGTCTGAATGCTAGGGAAGCAATCAGCAGAGAAGAAGGAGTTGACTATGCAAGAGAAACAGATAAACATTTACTTATATTTATCATGTAGACCTAGCCTGAAATTTATTGAACTTCATAATGATGAAGAATGGAGATTATCTTTTGATACTTCCTGGGGAAAATGTTTTAAGTTTTTCTAAATTCAACTCATTTTTTAAAAATATTTTTTTTAGAATGCATCAGGGATTTATGCTGAAATAGATGGAGCCAAAAATGAACTACAGGGAAAGCTATCCAATCTAAGTAACCTCAGTTATAGTTTAGTCCAAGAAGCTGTTGACCATGCACAAAATCTTCAACAAGAGGCCGATGAACTAAACAGGTAATAATATCCTGGCTTGAGAAATGCAAATATCTACATGGGCTGATTAACTTATTTTTATTCATTTCCATATGCCAGAGTTATTGGGATTCAGTGTTAGCAGGTTGGTTTGAGGGTCAGGTTTGCTTTTTTATTTGTTTATTGATGGGCAGTCTGAGAACCAATCACTGTTTATTGTAATCACTTCGGGGAGACAGTTTTTCAAATTAAAAAAAAATCTGTCAGATCACAGACCTGTGTTTGGTGTGAGGGGATTTCTGTTTCATAATTATTAATGCATTTTTCAATATATTTTTATTGGTATCAGAGAGGAAGGGAGAGGGAGAGAGAGAAACATCAATGATGAGAGAGAATCATTGATTGGCTGCCTCCTACATGCCCCACACTGAGGATCGAGCTCACAACCTAGTCATGTGCCCTTGACCAGAATCGAACCCTGGACCCTTCAGTCTGCAAGCCGATGCTCTATCCACTGAGCCAAACTGGCTAGGGCTATTAATGCATTTTTCTTAGAGGCATAACTTGCAAAATATCAAATAAATCAGATCCCTTTACAAGGTCTAAATCTACCATAATTGCCTATTTACTTCATTGGCAGTATTAGCTTTCCATACTCAAGTTTCTTAAGTAAAGCTGGTTGGAAGTTGATAATACAACTGACTTCTGGTAAATACTCTCATTACTCTACACTGCCCCAACTGGATCTATTTGATTTCAACACCTGTTAAGAGAAAAATCAATGGACATTTTTTCCTCGTAGCATTTAGAAGAGAGTCATGCACCCTTTGGGCACTCAATTCATGTACATTGAAATGTACTGAAAGATTGGAATTGAATTCATGGCCTTGAAATAATAGATAAATAATGAGATAATTACAGAGAAAGGACTGCAAATTCGGCCATTAGAAATAAGAATCAGTCAAGGTCATGAACAACATAAGAACCAATAGTAACTTCTGTTTAAAACTTAAATCACCTTTTTATTCCTGACTGCCAAAAATTTCAATATCCTACAAATCTCCTGAGAATTGAGAGAGAGGGAGAGAGAGAGAAGTGGGGGAGAAAAGGGGTGTGTGTGGAGGGGAGGGAGACAGGTCTTGTCAAGCCTTGGTGTGTTATATCCAGCTGTGTCATGCTCCCAGGAAATATGCTTTTGATAAAGCCAATAAAATGGAACTTGGCTAAAAGATGCTTTGGATAATGTGCTGCATCAGTAGAATGTTATTTTGAGACCCACCCCTGTGCGCTCTTCAAATTCTTTGGTCATTGTAATGGCCATCCTCCTGACTGGGAACCCAGCACACCCTTCCCTAAACGCTGCTGTGGCAAGCAGTGTCCCAGCGCGATTCTAAGTTATCACATGCTTTGCATGAAACATGATGGGGAACATCAACCACCCTGAAACCCTTTTGTGTTTAGGATATATCTGATTAAATATATGCAGGGAACCATCCAAATTTATAGACATATTTCCTTCAAAATGTGAATATACCTCAATATCTATCTGGGTACCCAATGATCTGCATGTTGTGCCTCAAAAAAGAGATAAACATAATTCATCAAGAAGCTCCCATTTCAAAAACACGTTCTATTTTGATGTAGTACCTGTTTTGTGCCTTGTAATGAAAACAAGTAACAAAGGCTTTGTTTCAAGGTCTTAGGTACATCTTCTTACCACTCTAGCAACATTTTAAAATATTAATACATATTTATAAAATTATATTCCTTTTATCCTTTAAAAAAAAACTTACTCAGGTTTTACTTTCTGAGCAATTTCTAAGAACAAGGGGTTCTGGGGAGGAAGAAATGGCAAGATCAGAATGACCTCTGCAGAGCAGGGCTGCATTACGACTTTCATGGGCCCTGGGTTCTTTTGCCTCTGTGGGCCCCTTCCTCCATAAAAGGTTAAAAATTATATGGCAAGACTGCCTTAATATAAAAACAAATGTTATCACTGTCCTCCCTACTAAGTCAGCCCTGGTGTGGAGGAGCCAGGAAAGTGACTTGAACAAAAGAGAAGGATGTAGCCAAAGAAATGCAGAGGAAGTCACTCTAGCCTTAGAGAGCATGCAAGACCTGAGGCTGGATGCAGAAGGCTGAGAAACAATTGACTGAGCTCACCAGGTCAGGGCATTTGAAGAGATGAGCCAGCATGACATCTGCAATCTCATATACTGGGTGACAGAGAATCTTCTGGAAGTTACTGATGAATTAAGGCAGTGGTTCTCAACCTTCTGGCCCTTTAAATACAGTTCCTCATGTTGTGACCCAACCATAAAATTATTTTAGTTGCTACTTCATAACTGTAATGTTGCTACTGTTATGAACCATAATGTAAATATCTGATATGCAGGATGGTCTTAGGCGACCCCTGTGAAAGGGTCGTTCGACTGCCAAAGGGGTCGTGACCCACAGGTTGAGAACCGCTGATTAAGGGGTACTACTCACCAGTGCTTGGAACTGAGAGAAAAAGGTGGAACTGGTGGATTTAAAATTGAGACAAATAACTGAGCATAAGCTGCAGAAAGGTGGGGGGGGGGCATTTATGTCATAGAGGAAGAAGTACGTGTCAATAAAATGAATTATTGACTAGCTTGGAATTCCAATTCAGGAAATACCTTAGGTATAAAAATAAATCCTGATGTTTACTGGGCGCCAGGCATGGTGCCAATCATTTCACACATTTTGTCCCTGTGTAGCTCACATCAATCCTCTGAGGCATATGCTGTTATCAGCACCTATAGGATTGTTCAGTGCATGATGGGTACTCAATCAATGTTAGATGAACCTTACAGAGGCCAGGAAGGGGCAAAGGCAAAGAACATGGTATATAGGGCGGGGGAGGAGGGGGCATGAATGGAGATGTGTGCTTAAGGGAGGCAGCCAGGCCTCAGGAGTGAGACAAACCCTCTCTCAGAGCCTCACTTGCTTCTATGGAAAGGGAATAATAATATCTAGGTCATGGATGTGCTAAGTATTAAAAACATAATATATGTTTAAAAAACATAATCTATAGAAGAGGGCTAGCCCAGTGTCTGTCCATAGATGCCCCATGCATGTTATTTCCCTTCTCAAGGAAAAATATGGTCTGTTATGTGAGGGAAATAGGGCCATGCAAGAAAAAAGGAAAGAGCCCTAACCGGTTTGGCTCAGTGGATGGAGCGTCGGCCTGCGGACTGAAGGGTCCCAGGTTCGATTCCGGTCAAGGGCATGTACCTTGGTTGCGGGCACATCCCCAGTAGGGAGTGTGCAGGAGGCAGCTGATCGATGTTTCTCTCTCATCGATGTTTCTAACTCTCTATCCCTCTCCCTTCCTCTCTGTAAAAAATCAATAAAATATATTTAAAAATAAAATAAAATAAAATAAAAAAGAAAAGAAAAAAGGAAAGTAAGTTTGAATGAATAGTGAATCCAGCTAATGCCTAACACCAGGCTGAGGCTGTGCACCTCTCTGAGAGCCTTGGTTTCTTTTATGGGAAGGGAATAGCAATAGGTAAGGAGTAGATGGGGATGACCGGGTTCATTCCTCTGCCTGACCGCCAAGCATAAACTCTTGCTTGAAGAGGGGTAGAGGGCTGTTTTTAACTCATCATTTCCTTTTCCTGTGGCTGCTGCCAGGCAGGCAGCTGCCATGGAGCCACAATAGGATGGTTTTGTGGTCACCAAAGGCAGGGGAATGCAAAGGAGATGAGCCTCTAGGAAATGAGTTTAGGAAAACCTTGTCAAGCCAGGTGACTTTGAATAACAGGAAGTGCCTGTGGTCCTGGAAGCATTCCAATCAAGCCCTACAAATGGCCCAGTTTCCCAAAGAGGTGAGATGGAACAATAATGACAAGTTTGTTCATTAACAGGAATTTACACAGTTCAGATGCAAACGGGCTGGTTCAGAAGGCTTTGGACGCTTCCAATGTCTATGAAAACATCGCCAATTACGTTAGTGAAGCCAACGATACGGCAGAGTTGGCTTTGAACATCACTGACCAAATTTACGATGTGAGTATTCTCTTAAAGTTCATTTATATGTTGCCTTTTCCCAGATATGACTTTTCTGTTTTCTAATGTCATCTCTTGGTCTTCCAATGTAACACAAGTGGCAGAAAGAGCAGAACTAAGAAAAGACCATTTTATTTATGTTACCAATGTTTCAATAGTGCAATTTCTTCAAGATGTGCCTAATCCAGACAGCAAATGCCAGTTTTTTGGACAGTTGTTTGAAGCCAAAATTCCTGAATAAAACATATTTAAGACTAGTTCCTGGTGAGGGAGAATATGCTTTATGCAGACATTCATATTTTTTTCCCCCCCCCCCCCAATTTATTTCCAAATTGCAGTTGACATACAATATTATATTAGTTTTGGTGTACAACATAGTGATTAGACATTTATATATGTGTACCTTATGAAGTGATCAACCCTATAAATCTAGTACCCACCTGGCCCCATACATGGTTATTACAATATTATTGACTATATTCCCTTTGCTTTTTTACATCTCCACGACTATTTTTATACCTATTAGTTTTTACTTTTTAATCCCTTTCATCTTTTGATTTTTTTCAACTCAAAAATTATTTGTTGATGGTTTCTACACGACAAGCATTTTGATGAGGCCTTGGCCAGGCGCTATTCTTAGTTTACTGAATTTTCCTCAAAAATCATTTATCTTGAAAATGCGAGGACATTGTTGTCTCATGTTCACCTTTGACCTTGAAAGATGACCTATGAAAATAAAGCTGCATGAATTTTGTTTGGTGTTTAGCAGATAAACTGCATCATTTAAATCACAAATAGCTCTTCTACCATCATTCGTACTTTCTCCACTCTATTCCTTTGTAGGCTGTGAGTGGGATTGACACTCAAATCATTTACCATAAAGATGAAAGCGAGAACCTCCTCAATCAAGCCAGACAACTGCAAACAAGGGCAGATTCCAGTAAGTATCTTCACTTTCCCACCTCCTTCGGGTTTACAGCTGCTTCCCTCCTTTCATGTAATATTTCTGCAGGTAGACAGATTTTAAAATTCTAGGATTAAAGAATAAGTGATATTTCAACTGAATAATACATTAATAGTTTCTGCTCAGAGTCAAGGTGTAACAAAGCAAAGATTAGATATTTTGAAATAAATTGTGGATTAAAACACACACACACACACACACATACACACACACACACACACACACACACCTTTTGCCCTAGCCGCCATGGTCCAGTGGTTAGAGCATTGGTCTGTGCACTGAAGACTACCAGAGTCTCACGTTCCATTGCTGGCCCCAGCCAGGGAGCATGTGGGAGACAACTGGTAGATGTGTATTTCAGATCAGTCTCTCTCTCTCTCCTTCTCTCTCTCTCTCTCTCTCTCTCTCTCTCTCTCTCTCTTTCTCTCTCTTCCCTCTCTCTCCTTTCCCCCTCCCTGCCACTCTCTGTAAAAAATCAATGGGGAAAATATCCTTGGGTGAGGATTAACAAAAAAGCAAAACAGACACACTCACACACACACACACACACACCCCTTTTATATAGTAAAACATGTGGTGGGAATTCTTGATAATCAAATGGACTAATTAATATAAACATCAATTTTTATCGAGATTATGCCATAAAGACACAACACTAAAACTATATTGCACATCATTTATTCTTTCTTGGACAATTCAAAAGTTTCCTTAAAATTTTACCCATGATGACCCATTTGGGTCACCACTGTGAGGGTCAGGAGGATAGGGTACCACAAAGCCGTTTGGTTATTTCTGCTTTCTTGTAGCTTGTGTTTTTCAAAGTTATTGTATTTAGGACAAGCCGAATGGCCATAGGGGAAGAAGCATTTTCAAAGGCTGGTGTTTGCATCTGCTGAAGCAATACCTCCCAAGAGTGGGAGAGGGAGGAAAAAATTAAAGTGAATCATTTTAATCAATTCTGAATCTTAAAAATAATTGAATTGAATAAGAATTTCGCTGAACATTATTCATCACTGACGTAATGAACTCATTTCTAAGGATAGTCGAGCATTGACTAATGAGGTTGGAAATCCATTATCTAGCTAACTTCTAATTACCACCTAAAAACAAAAGGCCAAGCTTGAAACTGAACACTTTATGTAATTTTATCAAAGCAATTAATCTCGAGTATTACTGTGCCTTTTTTTTTTACAAAGAAGTACATAGAAAATAAATGCATTGTTTTTCATATGCAGAATATGAATGTGGTAACTATTTAATTACCACAAAACAACTATTATTTTATGCCAGTCTTGACCATACTCTTTAGAAAAGAGTTACATTAGCAACAGTAAGGAATTCGATGAATAGTAAAATATTTTAAGTAAATGTTGCCATGTCTATGTATTTCTTTTGTTTCATGTTTTGTGAAGACCAGAATATGCAGGTCTTCATGATTCAATGACTTAAATATTTTATTTTCCTCGATAATTTGCAAGGTATTGTCTCAATCCTGTCATTATTGAGTTATTGAACCTCATGAAAGCAATTTTTCTATTTTAGGAATGCTATCCCTTTAAAATTCAATGTTTTATATACAGATAAGTCTCTCTGCATTGGTCTCTTTGAATATATTGTAGATTTTGTCACCTATTTCATGATCTTGCTAGTTAAATCCCTTCATTTATTTATTTGTAAAAGGGACACTGAAGAAAGTTAAGACTGTGTGGTTAAGAACTTGCCTCCCTTTAAACAATACACATGTTTGTGATATACATTTAAATTTCCAAGTTGAGCCATATTCATCTACTGAGTTACATTGTAATTTCAGATTACTGTTAATTTAGATCCAAATGACTTTCAATGATCAATCATCTTCATTTTCTTCCTTTTCTTCATTGTCAAATAATTAATAAACTCAGGAAGCAGCTATTTAAAGAAATCTATTGAATTCATTTGTAAAATAAAAAAATGTTTATGTAAGACAATAAGTTCCAAATAGGACATACTCTTCATGAAACATTTCGTCTTATAAACATCCAGCTCAAAATAGATTTTCTTTCTCCTATTTTTACGAGTTCCAAATACAGAACTAAATATATTATTTCTCAGTATGTCAGCTAGTGTTTTTTGCAGTCAAAGGACCCAAAAGAAAGAGATAAAAAGATTTTTTATATCACAATATTCAAAAAGTGAAGTTAAAAGAGGGAGAGAGAGTTCAATACAACTACAAAATGTTTAAGTCCCTCCTTGAATTCTGGGAAATTCTCAGGCACTACCCAGAGGAAATAAGAAAGAAATGCTTGTACTTTGGTTACATTGTACTTGGTGACAGAGTCAACTAAGCACCACCCATTGTATACCCATTATACACATGTGGGGATAAAAATAACTGAACAATAAACCAAGCATACCAGATTATACAATAAAAAGGAGTAAGTACACCATGAGAGAGTATTTATTTACAAGCCCATTAGAAATAAAGAGAAGTATATAATGGGAAGTAAAAACGGTATTTTTCTGTTTATCAAGAAGCATTATTTCTTTGGTGGTTTGTAAAGTAAACAAAGCATGAACACATTTTTGGGAAGTTGATTCTTCAGTTCAGATGACAAGTTATTATATCCTGACTTTTTTGGATTAGGCCCCAGATAACACAGTTTAGGACTATGCTACAAGCACACTTTCAATAATAATTTTTTAAGAAAAAGACTCTTAAAACTGAAACAAGAACAAATAGAAAATCTGACAGGCTGTCTAATAAATTTAATCAGTAATTAAACCCTCCCCACAAAAGAAATCTCAAGGAATCAATGGGTTCTTCTAAACTTTTAAAGAAAAAATGACATCACTCATATATAAATTCTTCTAGAAAATAGAAGAAGTGGAAATACTCTCTAACTTCCTCTATGAAGCAAACAAAATACCAAATTCTGACAAGGATATTATCAAAAAGGAAAATTTATAAGCCAAATTCTCTCATACCGAGACCAAGTTAAGTTTATTCCAGATTTCAAGGATAGTTTAACATTTAAAACATCAATAGTAACTCACCACACTTACAGAATATAGAAGATTTATATGATCATCTCACTACATGCAGGAAAATTATTTAACAAAATGCCATACCCATTCATATTTTTTAAAAAACTCATAGCAAACTAGGCATAGACTTAAGCTTCCATAATTCAATAAAGAATAATAAAATGATATTCATCAAATTAAAACTGAAATATTGAAAGCTTTCCCACCAACATTGAAAGCAAGACAAGGAAGCCCCACATTACCAATTCAATGGATAAAATCCAGTTTAGTTCTGTGTATACCAATGAGAAATTAACTTTTAAAAATAACACCATTTGCAATACAATACCCAGCAATAAATCTGATGAAAAATGCTAAGATCTCTACATGTAAAACTACAATATGCTCCTGAAAGAAATTAAAGAATTTCTCAATGGAGATCAAATGAGAATTTAGATCTAAAGAAGAATAATTAAAAGTGTGTAAATTAAGAGGAAGATTCAAATTTGTAAAAATGTCAATTCTGCAAAATTTATCTATAGATTTAATATCAGCACTGTATGCAGAATAATTGTAGAATTTATATGGAAATGGGGTAGGGGGCAAGAATAGCCAGCACAATTTTGAAGAATAAAAACAAAGATGAAAGACAAACTGCAGGTATCAAGACTTACAACTCTACAGAAATTAAAACAGAGATACAAAAAATATTTTAAAAATACAGTACTGTATTATTTCCTTTTAATAAAATTTAGAAACAAACACAACTAACAGACAGAGAGAGAATCAGAATAGTGGTCATCTTTGGGTAACCGCAGAATTCCCAGGAAATTGTAAGGGTGCTAAAATAATATTCTATTTTCTTGACCAGGACTCTGGTTATATTTTATGTTTGGTTTAAGAAAATTCATCAAGATGTGCATTTATAATGTGTGCCCTTTTCAAGATGCATGTTGTGTATCAATTAAAATTTTATTAAAACAATTCAGAAAAAAGAATTACTCTTACATAACCAGCCATCACCATAAATCACTCTCATGTCATATTCACAATGCTGCAGATGACTCCATGGTACAATCAGAATTTCTCTTGTTGAAATGGAGTTTTTTCTCCTGGCATTCTGGCCCCACTGGTACTTTTTTCGGCTTCTTCTCCTCAGGCAATGATGAGGCTGTGGCTGACACCAGCAGGCGTGTGGGGGGAGCCGTAGCAAGAAAGAGTAACCTTAAAAGCAGATTAAATGATGCCATTAAGCAACTACAAGCCACAGAAAAAGGTAAGGATCGGACAGAACTTAAGCCTCATCTATTTGTTCACTGGTATTAGATAAACCTTTGAGGAAGATGTAGGTGATTCCTTGCTTATCAACCTTTTTATAAATAAACTAGGGGCCCGGTGCACGAAAATTCATGCACTCAGGAGGGTCCCTCAGCCCGGCCTGCACCCTCTCACAATCTAGGACCCCTCGGGTAGGGTCCCTAGCCCTGGCCTGAGATCAGCGCCTATCAGGGCTTTCTTTCCCCCAGCTGCAGGCAGCTGGCCCCACCCCCGCCACTGCCACTGCTTGCCATCTGTGCAGAGCTTCCCCACCCCCACCACCGGTGGCCTCCCTCTGCAGGCAACAGGCATGGGGTGCAATGGCTTGACTGGCCTGGGCCTCCCTCTGCGAGGCGATCGCTGGCCAGCCACACCTGCCACAGAGTCGCCGCTGGTAGCCTAGGACTCCCTCTTTCTGTGCTAGGGGGTGAGGCCAGCACTGTGAGAAGACGTCTGCCTACCTGATTGCCCCTAACCACTCTGCTTGCCTGCCTGCCTGATCACCCCTAACCGCTTGCTTGGGAGCGGATCCAGGCCAGCGATGGGCTGTGGTGGTTCTGGTCTCTGGTCATTCTGGTCATTATGCTTATGGTGGCTGGCCTTTTATTATATAGGATATTGTTTTCTGATGACAAAAGAAACTATGTTCATTACACACACACACAAAAACAAAATTCTTGAAAACTACACCATCTAAGGGTGACCATTAAATTTGAGAGAATTTTCCTCCAATTTTGTGTGTGTGTGTGTGTGTTGTTTTCCTCAAATCATACTGCTTTTACGCACTGTTCAGTAACCTACTTTGTTATGAACATCCAAATATGGTTATTGGGTTTCTCTGGCCCCAACTGTAAACAGCTGCCCTCTGTTACATGCCACATCCTTTTTATAGTGAAGCAGGGAGACCAGTGAGCAAAATAGAGAAACAAGGGCCCTCATCTTGCCTAATCTGAGACCACAGTGGTATTTTAGAAAGACATGATTGGAAGCAGATGTGAGAGCTAAAACAGGACCACAGGGAGTGGATGCTTTACTACACGATCACGTCCAGCCACAGTGCTCCAGCACACCCAAGCCCTGCCGGAGAGTGTCACCCACGGGCAGTCCCTGTGGCCAGTACCATCAGGGCTATCACATGCTAGGCTCTAGGCCAGTGATGGCGAACCTTTTGAGCTCGGCGTGTCAGCATTTTGAAAAACCCTAACTTAACTCTGGTGTCCTGTCACATATAGAAATTATTTGATCTTTGCAACCATAGTAAAACAAAGATTTATATTTTTGATATTTATTTTATATATTTAAATGCCATTTAACAAAGAAAAATCAACCAAAAAAATGAGTTCGCGTGTCATAGGTTCGCCATCACTGCTCTAGGCTGTGTTTTACCCACATTATCTCACGTGGGAAAGTATCACCCTAACTAACCTTTAGGCTGCTGTGAACCCCGAGGCTTGTCAAGGTTACGGAACTTGCTCCAAAAGGCACAGTTCCAAAAGAAGCAAACCCAGGATTCAACGCTACTTCCACCAGAGTTCAGAGCATATACAGTTGAATTAAATGTTTCTTCACTTTTAAAAAACTGAAGCTACAACCCGTCCTGAGTCATTTTTAATTGTTTTTGTTACAGAAATAATACATGAGCATTTTAGAAAATAGAGAAGAAAAGAAAGAACAAGGGAAGAAAAATATTTTATAATCTCATACCTAGGAAAAAGAGCATTTTGCTGTAAACATATTACTTTATATATGTAGATTTTTAATGAAGTTGAATTTCAAAATATATTTTAAATTTGCTTTTCTTATTCAAAAATATCTTTCCTTACCAATTTACTTCTGTATTAGAGCATCATTTTTATGGCAAAAATTGTTCCACATAGAAGAAAGTGATATTTACTATCAATTTAAGACACAAACATATTATGAGTTATCTCTCATATGAATTTTCTGTGGCTTTCTCACCAGGTCTCTAACCTGAACAAATACTAATTACTTTTTCATTTACCTCTCACTAGAAAGTGTTCTAAATGCACTACGTGATTTTAATGAGACTCTAGAGCAGTGATGGCGAACCTTTTGAGCTCGGCGTGTCAGCATTTTGAAAAACCCTAACTTAACTCTGGCGCCGTGTCACATATAGAAATTTTTTGATATTTGCAACTATAGTAAAACAAAGATTTATATTTTTGATATTTATTTTATATATTTAAATGCCATTTAACAAAGAAAAATCAACCCAAAAAATGAGTTCGCGTGTCACCTCTGACACGTGTGTCATAGGTTCGCCATCACTGCTCTGGAGTCTTCCAAGCTCACTTATTAATACTGCTTACAGTAGTCTTGTGCACCTAACTTACATCATAATGAACATATGTTTAAATATCTTCGTTTGGCTTAAAAGCTCAACATTTAATAAGGTCTGTGTCACCCAGTGAATAAATGGATGTTAATGTTCCCACCAAATGCCCTGCTTCTCTGCAAAGTGAGTGTCCTTGTGCTCTGTGTGAAGGTGACGCTCAGCAGCGCCTGAGTCAGTCCAAGCTGGTCACCGAGGAGGCGAACAGGACGACGATGGGAGTCCAGCAGGCCACCGCCCCGATGGCTGACAACCTCACCAACTGGTCACAGAGCCTTCAAAAGTTTGACTCTTTTGCTTACAACACTGCAGTGGACTCTGCCAGAGATGCAGGTATCCCTTAGAAATTTCTCAGTTTGCATCCAGTTGAGGAACTGGCCATTGAACTCTACACACACTTTAAGAAGTTTTCTTCTTTTGGGTTTCAGATTGGAATACTGTAGAAGTTAGCTTACAAAAGGAGAAAAACTTTTGCTTAGTTTGTCTATCAATATGTGTGTGTACATATGAAATATATATATATTTCACATAAACACTAAATAGATTGGTTAAGAGTCATGACTATCTTCTATGTAAAATATGGTAGCATTTGTTTTTGTTAATGTAAGCCTGATTCTTTCAGGAAGAAGGTCAATCACATGTTAGAGTAAATAATCTTTACAATCTTGCTTTTAGGAAAACATTTGCTAAGCAGCATTGATTTTACTAAAGAGCATTACTTTATCCTTATCCCCCCAAATCAGGCTATTACCAACAAGTACTGAATATGGCCAAATATAACGGAAGCTTCTCACTAAGAAGACAGTTTGTTGGCTAACTTGAGCACAAATTTATAGCAATGAAAAGGAGATACTTAGATGCCCACCTCATTTAGTTAGTTACATATAGATGTTAAAATCACATATTACTTGAGAAGTTTTTTCCAGTCTCATATTTTTTAAAAATGTATTTAGTGAGTTTTAGAGAGATAGGAAAGGAGAGAGATATAGAAATATCAATGAGAGAGAAACATCTATCGGTTGCCTCCTATATGGCCCCCAACGACAACCGAGCCCACAACCTGGGCAAGTCCTGACCAGGAATCGAACCAGCAACCTCTTGGTGCATGGGTCAATGCCCAACCACTTCTCTGAGTACTTCCTTGTCTCCTCCGTCTGCCTCCACCTCTGCTGGGACTGCTGTAGCAGCAGTGTGACCTGTGAATGAGCATCCGGGGAAACAACCTCTCCACCTTCTTTTGCCCAGAATTTTTAAAGCTGTTATATCAGTAGTATTATAAATGCGAACAACCTGTGTGTGGTGTGTGGTGAGAAAACATCTGCATATTAATTGTGGATGCTGCCCTTCAGACATGTGCTTTATAAATCAGCTTGTTCTACATACATTTATAAATCGATATGTGCTGTAAATGTCACAAAAGAGGAATTAATTATGCCTTGGGCTTAACTATTAATTTTGCAGGATTAAAAATAATTTCTTATAGTTCTACCAGAAGTAATCATGTGTTTGTTTCTTCACCTCATTCCTGGAATGTAGTCAATAATGAGATATTTACACAAGTGATTAATTTTTATTAACTACAGTAAGAAATTTGACAGAGGTTGTCCCTCAGCTCCTGGATCAGCTTCGCACAGTGGAGCAGAAGCAGCCTGCAAGCAACGTTTCCGCCAGCATCCAGAGGATCCGAGAGCTCATTGCTCAGACCAGAAGTGTTGCCAGCAAGGTAAGCCATGAAAAGACTCATTATCATTCATCACTGGGAGACAATGAGAATATGAAGAGCAGCTCCCAGGTCCATAGTTCTCAGCTCCCTCTGTTCATCAGAATCACATGAAGAGCTTTGAAAACTAAACCCTTTCCTGGTCCCAAGCTCAAAGCCACACATCAGGCTCTCAAGAGAAAGGGTTCAGCACCTGTATTTTCTTAAAGCTCCCCAGGGATTCTAAGGCATAGCCACGACTTAAGACCACACACTTAACCTAGTCAACATGGTTTATGCAACAAAAGAAATCAAGTGAAGCCAACCACAAAAAAGACACAATTATTATTATTATTATTCATTTTAACAGTTGTTTTAGTGCAATTGCTATATGGAATAATCTTGCCCATCTATCTCTTCAAAGAATTTTCTGGTATAACACAGAGGATTGTGTTGTACACAGAGCTTTTACTGACCCCTCCACAGGCTTAACTGAGGAATCACATATCAGCTAAACTGAATAATCTCAAAAAAGGCCCTATTCTGAGATGCTTATACAGAAGCAACACTGCAACTGGTATAACTAGCACTAGTGTTGGTAGGAACATAGCCTGACACAACAATTAACATTTTGGTGTGGTGAAACAGGGCTTGTTCTTAGCCTTCTTTTTTTTTAATCTTTATTGTTGAAAGTACTACATATGTCCCTTTATCCCCCCGCCGACACTGACCTCTTCTAGCCTGCCCCTGCCCCCACCCTCAACCCCCGACCCCTACCCCAGACCTCACCACCCTATTGTCTGGGGCCATGGGTTATTCATATCCTATATAATAAAAGCCTAATATGCAAATCGACCAAACAGCAGAACAACCGGTGGGACAACCAGTAGCTATGATGCTCTCTGACCACCAGGGGGCAGCTGCTCAATGCAGGAGCTGCCCCCATCCCGCAGGCCCTGACCCAGCCATGGGGGGGCTGGGGGAGAGGCAGGGCCAGCAAGCTGGCGGTGCCAGGCCAGCCAAGGCAGGTACCAGCAGGGGCCCCCAATAGCCCCACCAGTCACCCCGCAGATCGGCCCTGATTGCCAGCCAGGCCTAGGGACCCTACCGTGCACGAATTTTGTGCACCAGGCCTCTAGTATGCATATAAGTTCTTTGGTTGATCTCTGCCTACCCACCCACCCTCCCCCACCTTCCCTCTGAGATTCTTTTTAATTTGTTCTTTATTGATTTATAGACCAGCAACATTTTTTACAACCAAATTATATTATGTTATTTTCTCAATTGAGAATTGGCCTGAACAGACTATTGGCCCAAATTACTTACAGAAAAAAAGAGTTAGAATTCAATTATTTTGTAGCAGAGGGAGATAATGATTGTTAAATATACCCACCTTTTAAATGATATATGGTAATTGATTTCACACCACAAATTACGTTTTTTAGATACCTTGGAGAACATTTCAAAAAATGTTTATCATCAAGAAATGGCATTTCCAAAGCTAAGTTTTCTTTGAGTCCTTTCTGGTAGTTTTATTCATATGGAGTAGAATTTGGGGGCCTTAAAAACCTAAAACCATTTTCTAAAGAGAGTCTTGGCAATGACTTTGGAACCCACGAGGCTCCTTAAAGTGAGATCTTCCTGTGTAGATAAGACATCCTTCTCTGACTCCCAATTTTTATGTTAATCCCACACAGTGTGATGGTTTATTAACACGCATTAATGTTTAACCAGCTGGCAACATAAGACAGCTGTACTGTAGGCACCTGGTAATATAATCTTGAGCTCACTCACCATCAGTATTAACCAAATCAATATTAATTAATTGATGTAAATACATCCAATCATTGAGAAATATTTGCATAAATGGCATGGATATACATAGTCTTATCTTCTTCTGAATACTCTGAAAATCACCTCAAATCCATTTAGCATATCATACTGGGCCTCTTAGAAATGCATTTACTGAATTGTGCTTTCTTGTGATGCCTTTCTGCGAATCATTATAAGACACATATTCATGAATTCGTTCTTAGAATTATTGTAATGATAGAGCCAGGCACTAGAATGCATTTTATAGTTATTGTCTTATTTCATTCTCACAACAAACTTATTGTCCTCATTTTACAGATGAGGAAACTGAAGGTTAAGTGATTGTTTGAGCTACATGGCTAGTAAGCGGGAGAGCCAGCTTTCAAGACCCTGTTTCAGATTTCAAAGCTGGGTCTAGGCCCCTCTCAACTGTCCATATGCAGTCAAGGGTGTTGCTTACAGCCTCACCCCATGCCCCTCTTTTAAAGATCCTGGGGAAAAATTCTTAACTGTACTAGTACCCAGTGTTAGTTATACTTCTGATGAATTCATTGTTGTTAATCTTATAGGTCTTGTGAATTGTATAACTAAGTATCCCTTCAAGCTGCTTAGTTCACCTCAATCAAGTATGTAGTTCATTGTGGAATTCCTATGGATCCTTGTTCTTAGACTTACTTCGTCACCGTGTTTTAAACTTAAACTATTATATTACAATATGCCTTAAATCCTTTGATCGAGGAGGTGAGGACATAAGCAAATGAAGCATGGAGGAGAGGAGAGCTCAGAGGCCCCATCAGGAATAAGGGAGAACCACTGAGAACCATGCCCATTTCTGCAGCGTACTTTTAATGAAATGATTTTGTAACTCCAGATCCAAGTCTCCATGATGTTTGATGGCCAGTCTGCAGTCGAAGTGCACCCTAAAGCCAGGATAGATGACTTAAGGACCTTCACATCCCTGAGCCTATACGTGAAACCTCCTGTGAAGCAGCCAGAACTGGCTGGGATTGCAGATCAGTTTATCCTATATCTCGGAAGCAAAAACGTAAGAGCATGAGGTTTTATTTATATTTTTCATTTGTTGGGTTTTTTTCTAATTTTCAATGACAGTTTACATTCAATATTATTTTGTATTTTTTGCGTTTTTTTTCCCTTATTTTTCAATGACAGTTTACATTCAATATTATTTTGTATTAGTTTCAGGTGTACAGCACAGTGGTTAGATAATCATATACTTTACAAAGTGTTTCCTCCAATATTCTTAGTACTCACCTGACACCATACATAGTTAACACAATATTATTGACTATCCAGTACCCACCTGGCACCATACATAGTTAGCACAATATTATTGACTATATTCCCTATGCTTGACTTTACACCCTTGTGACTAGTTTGTAACTACCAATTTGTACATCTTAAAAAGAGAGAATACTCTTAAAAGAAAAAATTTGTGCTTTTCCTTTGCCTTACAACAAAGCTACCCTATCCCAACGACAAAATTCCCATTCCAAAAACTCAAAAAGTATAGGTCATTTTAGTGCCAAGACTAAAGTAGTGATTTAAAGGCAAGTAATTCCTTTTGTGTGGGATACTTCTTGGCTTGCTTTATATCAGCCTCACACTGCTATCTCTGAGGACTCTGAAAGTAGCATTTCAAAGACTTTCAGAGTACAGAGGCCTATTATGTTTGAAGATGCGTAACAATTGGTATTGGCAGATTTCATTATATCCCTGCTTAACTAAACAAGGTTAGCACATCTCGGCAGCCATCAAATGTCCATAAGCCTACAGTTGCTTGCCTCCCTGTCCAGATGCACTTGGACAAGGCTGGGATGTGGTAGTGGGGTGGGGACAGCAGACTTATGCAGCCACAGGGAGGATGGAGAGGAAGAGATGCTGCGCAATCTATCAGGAACTTTGGTTATAATTCAGAACAGACATGCCTGGATACAGCCAAGTATTGGAATTGCTATTGTCCTTTAAAGAAATGAAAACAAAAGATGATGTTCACTCACTTGTATTTTATTTAAGTGACTTATTGACATTTCAGGCCAAAAAAGAGTATATGGGTCTTGCAATCAAAAACGATAACCTGGTGTATGTCTATAATTTGGGAGCTAAGGATGTAGAGATTCCCCTAGACTCCAAGCCTGTCAGTTCATGGCCTGCTTACTTCAGCATCGTCAAGATTGAAAGGTAAAGTGAATGCATGACACAGGACTGTGTGCACATTTTATAACACACACACACACACACACACACACACACACACACACCACTCACAGTCTTTCTAGACTTCTTTCCAAATACCTTATTGAAAAACAAAAGGTTAGAAAAATAGACATCATTTTTAAAAAGCAATCTGATTATTAGATTTTTTATCTGGTCTATCCATGAATTAATTTCGAGATGGAATGTCTTCTTTTTTCCCTTCCCATTGATTGCTGACATTCTATAACTGCTTATGAGAGTGACAAAAACCAAATCACCAGTTCTGTGACAAGGAAACATTAACATTTTGACATTAAAAAAGATGTATTTTCTATAAATTATCAGGCTAATAAAGAGTAACAATTCTTCATCTCAACAGGGTAGGAAAACATGGAAAGGTGTTTTTAACAGTCCCAAGTCTCAGTAGCACTGCAGAGGAGAAGTTTATTAAAAAGGGGGAGTTTGCAGGGGATGACTCCTTGTTGGATCTGGACCCCGAGGACACTGTGTTTTATGTTGGTGGTGTGCCTTCAAACTTCAAGGTAAGCTCTCCAGCTATATTTTGACTTATTGCAAATCTACAGTGATTGTTTTCAAAAGTCTGTAAGACCTACAATGATTTGGGCATGGGATAGAAATCTTGATATTTTAAGAAAGAGGTTACTTAGTAGGTAGTAGATTTCTGAGCCAGGATCTATAAATCTGGTCTCTGCTACCCACATTTTCACAGTGTCAGATGCATTCAAGCTTTAGGTAACACTGGTCTATCAGTTCATTTTATTCTGACACATGAGTAAGTAATTAATAGTATTCCCACCTACTGCAGAAGTAGCTGTACTTTCTGAGTTTGTATCTGGCCTTCAGGCTCACAGATGATAGGCTCAAAAATTTAGTTATCTCAACTAATATAAGTATAAAATAAAATATAAAGGGGGGGTGAGATCTAGGGAGGAGTGTGAGACCTAATGAAAGGCAAATAAAGGAAAGGACCAAGAAAACAGTTGATTTAGGATTCGATTCCAGAACTGTTATTTACTAGTTATAGGCACATTATTAAGCCTCAGAATTACTTCCTCTTTATATGAGAACAGAAATAATTACTTCACAGAACTGGTGTAAGGATCAACTTGGGTCATGAATTCACTGTCCAATGTGTAACTGGCACATAGTATATGCTCAATAAATCCCACCCTCTCTGCTAAGATATGTACAATGGAAAAATCATGATGGATATAAATGATTTGGCATAGAGTAGATGCAAACTTAGGGCTAGAAAGATATTTATACCAATGGACAAATCTTCTGGGCTTGCTGTTTGTTTCATTGCCTGTTCTGTGTGGCCCAGGTGAAATGTGATCCTGGGACAATTGACTTTGCTTTGTCTGTTGCACAGCTTCCTGCCAGCTTAAACCTGCCTGGCTTCCTTGGCTGCCTGGAATTGGCCACTTTGAATAATGATGTGATCAGCTTGTACAACTTTAAGCACATATATAATATGGATACCTCCAAGTCAGTGCCCTGTGCCAGGTAAGGAAGTGTTAGGAGTGCTGAAGACTTTGCTAACCATGAAAGAGCATCAGGGAGACACATGTGGGTCATTATTCAGGTTCCCAATCTTTTCTTGGGGGAAACCAGTTTGGAAACCGATAATAGTCATACTCTCAAAACACTTTTTAGGTTTTCTCTGCCATAGATGAATATGCACAATTATAAAAAGATAACTCGTTTGTAGCTTTGATTTTGGATTCCAGAGACTGAGATTTCACTAGAGACTTCTGTTGTCTTAGCACAAAGGTTAGAGAAGAAATCTATTAAAAACAATTCATTTAACTTACCAATAAATGCCTCTTTATGTCACCCATGCAGACATCACGACTTCATTTAAATGCTGGAAGGCCCAAGGAAGATGTCATGAGATGGGTTAAAAGGGCCTCACTTGAGAAGCATGTCATTGTAATGTTTATATGGTCCTTGCATTTTTATTTCAGAGATAAACTGGCCTTTACTCAGAGTCGGGCTGCCAGCTATTTCTTCGATGGCTCTAGTTATGCCGTGGTGAGGGATATCACCAGGAGAGGGAAATTTGGTCAGGTGACTCGTTTTGACATAGAAGTTCGAACACCAGCTGACAATGGACTTGTGCTCCTGATGGTCAATGGAGTGAGTAATAACAAAAGTGCTACATTTTCTTTATTTCCTTTACTTTCTGCTATGCATATTTCTAGGAACCTTCCAAGGTTGTGTCATGCCATCAAACTAAAGTTTTAGTTTAGAAATCAAACGTGGATTATTTCCTTCAGTGAAGTGATGTCAGCAATAAGTAAAGCAGCCCTAAGACGCATTTCTCTGCACTGCAGTTTTGGGTGTATATTAAATATATCCTCTTTAATATACTGAAGGAATTTTGAAGAAAATCAGTGCCAAAAATTAGGGAAAGCTGTGTGTCTATGGAAATTTAACACTGACTTTTTAAATCATATGCCCTAATCAGTAAAAAAAAGATTTGCATGTCTACTATATATGTATGTGTATATATACATATAAACATTTCTTTATTAGTGATTTGCATATGCCATATATGGATATAACACATAAACTCGGAATAAAAGACAATTTATATAAAGATAGTATTGAATAAAAATAAATGTTATTTTAAAATAAAGACAAAATCAAATAAAATTATTTTTATTTGTTAATGATACAAAAATTATTGTTAATATCAGTGTTAAAACAATGTAATTAAATATGCTTAAGCATTTTTGAAAGTCTCATTAAACTCTCTGTGATAGAATGATTCAAAAGTCTTCTCCTAAGTCCAGTTTATTTCAATATAATGTTGTTTCTTCACCTATCTTTATTGGACAAGATACCTCATAAAAATAAAACTGTAAGAAGTGTATTATTGGCTTTGTTTACTATATCATGATACCATTTTATCATCTCATTCACCAGTTGGTAAAAGTTGTCTTTGAAATTTGTCTGGTACATTTCCAGCTTTGTTGATGTCAGTCTTACAAGCTGATCAGAAAATAGGTCATTTTGTACACTTTAACAAAGGGGTTTAAGACCATTGGAAATCTTCATTGGAAAGATTTTAAAACAGAAATTTCTTTTAGAAATTTAGAAATTTCTTTCCAGAAGTATTTTAATAGTGCAGACATGAGAGTTTTTATAGGAAGTAAACATTCATTGTGTTCAACAAGTTCACTTAACAATAGAAACATTTCCAAACACATTTTTTTAAAACCATAAATTCAGTGCTTCAAAATAATAAAGAAATTGACTTCTTTTTTAATATCCATATTTGTTGATAATTATTTAAGGTTTTTTTTTACATACCTTGGAATTAATTTTCAGTATCACCAATGTTCCTCTAAAATGAAATGCAATCACATGTATTGGCTTCTTATAGTTTTCAAATTTGCCTACAGAAAAGGCAGTTGAATATATATGGCCTATAATACTCTGTTTTTTAAATTTTTTAAAGGTCATAAGCTAAACATAAAATTTCATTAATTCATAGGGTAAATTAAAAAACAACAGAAGATAGTTGCTTTAAATTGTATATAAATATTAACATTTTGGAATGCTAATATGAAACATAACTGACAAAGTGGATGTACTTGTAATTTTTAAGAACTTCATGAGACAGCCTTACTCTTCAAACAACTTCAGTAATAAAGAATACAGTGTTATATTTCTCAAATTCAGCTAAATCTGCGCTTTTATAAGAGCAGATGCTCACATCTTATACATCCTTCTCTCTGCAGAGTATGTTTTTTAGCCTGGAAATGCGCAATGGTTACTTGCATGTGTTCTATGACTTCGGATTTAGCAATGGCCCTGTGCATCTTGAAGACACTTTGAAGAAAGCTCAAATTAATGATGCAAAATACCATGAGGTACAAATCTTTGCAATTTGGGTAGTTTTACCTGTTTGATTTGGTTTTGTTTGAACTTATATCTATTGGTCTAATCCAATTGTCAACCTCGATAGGTAGAAAAGTAATTAAACTAAAAGCCTTCACATTTAAAGACTGGCTGAAGGGTTCTCATCTACTTAACTCCAGGATAACATTTGCATCAAAAAGTGGCTTTTTTGGTGATATTGACCTTACTAAGAGTCACTGAAAGGTTCATTTTAGTTGCTTCATTAACCCAAAGGCTCCAATTATACTCAAATCATGATTACAGTGACACTCCTATAGAATCCTTCTATAGAAAATGCCAGGTCTAATATACAGCCATGTGTTTACTTATCCTTTGAGCCCCAATAAATATAAAAGGAATATATATAAGTAAATAGAGGCTCACCTTTTAAATCACTTGTCTAGAACTTAGAAAATACTAACACAGATTCCACAAAAAGAGAACCCAAAGAATGCTCTTTAGTCTTGAAATAGATGTTCAGCAGACTGATAGCATGCTTCATCTATTTTTATTAAAAGTGACTTTAAATTTACAATTTAATAGAATGTAAAAAAGGCACAATATCTTTGAAGCTGAACTGAAATACAGAGAATACGAGGCTATATTTATCTTTTTAGTTAAAATTCCATAGCTTTCATGAGGATGGTTTACAAAAAAAGATTATTTTAACTATTTCTCTGTGTAGCATTTTTACAGATTTATTAAGGCTTCTCACTATGTTCCCAAAAAATAACACCTGGTAACATGCAGTCTAGGGTCCAGAAAGTACCTGTTTCCTAAATCTCCTCAAAGGGGTTACATAAATAAATTGGTCTCATGACAGAATTTTCCTGGGCTAGCTCCTTCTCCACATGGAAATCCTCCAGGAATTGTGAACTTCTGCATTTATAAGTAAGAGCTTTCAAAGTCTGTGAGTAAGAAAGGAAAATATATTCCCCATTTTGTGAACAAGCATAAGAACATGGAAGTTCAATTGTTTTAACCAGAATAATTAAAATATACTGTCATCTTCCACAAGTTGATTGTTAAAGAGTGACCAAGATTTACTACATATTATTTCTTCCAGATTTCAATCATTTACCACAATGATAAGAAAATGATTTTGGTAGTTAACAGACGACATGTCAAGAGCATGGACAATGAAAAGATGAAAATACCTTTTACAGACATATACATTGGAGGGGCTCCCCCGGAAATCTTACAATCCAGGTAAGTTTTCTTTGTTAAGTGGTTATTTGTTCCTAACAATGTATTGGGCTGAGTATGCAACACCCCCCGGAATAGATCTAGTAAAGGTTTAAGTTCCCCCAACACTTGCTACTTCTACACGTGCACAGGCACACGCTCACACGTTTATGCACCTTTGGACCCCCTGCAGCCAGTTCTCATGACCCCCTTCATTTAATATCTACTAGATGAGACCTATAGGTTTCTTTAATTATGTCCTGATACTCTTGTTTTAGTCTTAACTTAAACATATTTGAATTCTCAAATAGCATCTGAGGGTAAAAATTTTAAGCTTGCCCTAGCTGGTTTGGCTCAGTGGATAGAGCATTGGGCTGCAGACTAAAGGGTCCCGGGTTCAATTCCAGTCAAGGGCACATGCCTGGGTTGTGGGCTTGACCCCCAGTAGGGGGTGTGCAGGAGGCAGCCGATCAATGATTCTCTCTCATCATTGATGTTTCTATCTCTCTCTTCCTCTCCCTTCCTCTCTGAAATCAATTAAAAAATTTTTAAGCTTATCTAAGGGTTTGTAAATTATGTATAATGAAGCTATTCTAATATATTTAAAAAGTCACTGTCTTTTATTATGATCAATTCATAACATCAGAGACCTTTAAGACTGAGAGACATATTTTAGTCCAGTGGTTCTCAACCCTGGTTCTCATTCGAATAACCTGGAGAGCTTTTATAAACACCATTGTCCATGACCACTCTCCAGAAATTCTGAATGCTCTGAGGTAATGCCACAATATAATATTAAAAACAAAACAAAACCTTCCTTCAAACTTCTCTTTGAATATATCTATAGTTACCTCTGAATTTTTTTAAAAAATCAATTTTAATGACTTCAATTTTTAAAAGCTTTTCCTTATTTGGAATCACAACTAGCGCCATTCCCCTTCCATATCACCATGCTTCATATTTTTCAAAGGCTCCCCAAGCTTCCTTTTCTAAATAAATAGCCTCTTCAGTCCTCCAACCATGCCACATTGGACCTTTAACCACCATGGCTATCACTATGTCCACTATGTGCACCTCAATCTGTCCATCAGTACGGCCTTCCCAGTGTGGTCTTGTCGGAGCACAATATAGAGAACTATTACCCCTTAGTTTCTCTAGTGTTCATCTAAAATACACTGAAGGCAAAACTAATTTCATATCCATTCAATATCTGATAACATGTTGTGGGGCACTCCTATACACTGGGCATGGTATAGGTAGTAGGACTACAGCACTGAGAAAAATGCCAGCCCTGATGTTAAAAATAAAGGATTTCTTACTCTGCTAATGATCCCAAGGCCTAACATTGACACTAGCCTTAGCTGATTACAGTGTGTTGCAAATAAAGCCAAGAAGATGAGTTTATGACCCATGTGGATTAGTGGAAGGCTGAAGACTGGGTTTTCTTCCTAACTTAACCGGTTATGACATAAGAAATGAATGTGTCTTAGTTTACTTTTATAGCTTACATGTGAAATTGCCAAGAATTGACCTTTTTTTCAGATATATTTTTATTGATTTCAGAGAAGAAGGGAGAGGGAGAGAGAGATAGAAACATCAATGATGAGAAAGAATCATTGATCAGCTGTCTCCTGCACGCCCCCTACTGGGGGTCAAGCCCACAATCCAGGTATGTGCCCTGAAGGAGAATCAAACTGTGACCTCCTGGTTCATAAGTCAACACTCAACCACTAAGCCACACTGGCTGGGCAAGAATTGACCATTTTTTACCTTTAAATGTTAGTTATAAATGATCTTAAATACTATTAAATTATATTACCTATATATGTAGGGTGGCATCATCACCAGGGCTATATTAGTGAAGACTAATTTTCTTCCCCAGGACTCTAAGAGCACACCTCCCCCTAGATATCAACTTCAGGGGATGCATGAAGGGTTTCCAGTTCCAAAAGAAAGACTTCAATTTATTAGAACAGACAGAAACCCTGGGAGTTGGTTACGGATGCCCAGAAGACTCTCTTGTAAGTACCAATCAATCAAAAGCTTTTTAATAATAATAAACAAAAACAGCACTTATCACTCTCAAAAGCTGTACAACTCTTTTCAGCTTCCTTGTAATTCTAGGAATCATTAAGCCAGGAAGGCTCATGGGGTGCCTCTATGACTTGTCCAGTTGGCTCAGTTTTCTATCAGTGTGGCTTCCGAAGCCCAGAGAGTCTGTGAGAGCACTGTTACTACTCAGGGTAGAGGGAGGGAAGACGTTGAAACCCCACCTGTTAGAGGCCCACAGAGGGAAGGTTAATATGCCTGAATTCCAGTATAAACCAGAAGGGATTTTTTGTGTGTTTTTAAACACTATTAATATAGAAACTAGACCTTTGGTGTGTGAGAAATTCACTTAAGCTTTGATAATTATTACAAACACTAAATTTACTGTTTGGGCACACAGATATCTCGCCGAGCATATTTCAATGGACAGAGTTTCATTGCTTCAACCCAGAAAATATCTTTCTTTGATGGCTTTGAAGGAGGCTTTAATTTCCAAACATTACAGCCAAATGGATTACTATTCTATCATGCTTCAGGGGTATGTATTTAGTTTTCTCCTGAGGAAATTTCTTTGTGATAATTGTTTTGTCTATTAGAAATACTATTAAGCATGTTAACAGTGATTTTCAATTTTGACTTACATGTACTCACATAGAATTCCCCATTTCAGACACTTTATAAAATACTAGAGGCCCACTGCACGAAATTCGTGCATGGATAGAGTCCCTAGACCTGGCCTGCGATCAGGGCCATCTTCCCTGGCTACCACAGCCAGCCCCGCCCCCCACAATCACCCACCCCAGGTCCCTGTTCGCCATCGGGCGATCGGAGCCTGATGGCCAAGGGAAGGGACCGAGAGGTGGTCAGTGCACCTCATAGGAACTGGTCGAGCAGTCATTCTGGTCTTTCTACCACTCGGTCGATTTGCATATTACTCTTTTATATATAGATTATATATATTGTACATCAGGGGTTCTTAATCTGGGATTCATAGATTCACTCCTCAAGGGTTACTGAGAAGAATTTAGGAAGTCTGTAGATTTGGGTGGGGGAAAATTACATCTTTATTTATCTAACTAAAATTTAGCATTTTCTCCCATTGTAAATGTGGGCAACAAATCACAATAGTATTAGCAGTACCTGTAACTTTTTCATTAATAGAAATGAGAAGTATTTTTCATTTCATGTTTAAGCTGTCACAGATATCTCAAAATATTAATATTGCTCATTGCTACTTCTAAATTACAGTAGTTATTAGATCTGCTACTAAATTTTATTATTTAATGCCTTAATAAAGAAGTACATATATTACTATATCAGATTTATTGTTTTAATATTTTGAAACTGTGTTTCCATGTAATTGTTTTTCCTTTGTGTTCCTATACATTTTGTTGTATGCATATTAAAACATTATTTTATGAATGGGTCCATATGTATCACCAAATTGCCAAAGGAGTCCACAGCACAAAAAATGTTAAGAACCACTGTATGTTAAGAATAAACATATGTGTGATTTAACTTATAAAATAGTAAAAAGAACATACTTTTCTCTTCATGCATTTGCTGCTGAACACTTGAGCTCAGCTTAAAGACATCTTATTTGAAGAATAAAAAAGCCTGGCTGGTGTGGCTCAGTGGTTGAGCATTGACCCATGAACCAGAAAGTCATGGTTAGATTCCTGGTCAGGGTACATGTCCATGTTTTGGGACCCATCCCCAGTAGGGGGCATGCAGGAGGCAGCAGATAGTTGTTGATGTTTCTCTCTCTCATCAATGTTTCTATCTCTCCATTACTCTTCCTTCCTCTCTCTAAAATCAATAAAAATATATATTTAAAAAGAAGAATCAAATAAGATCTGTACAGGTTTAATGATGCTAAGATTCAACCGATTTATCTCTGAAAAGGACCAAGAGCTACACTGATGGACCAGGCCATAATAGCAGCTTTCACTTTTCATACTTACTACTTTGTATCTATCACATTTATATTGAATTGAATTTAAACCAGTAGCATCTGTGAGAATTTACCCAAAGCGCTTTGTAGAACCTCTGTTACATAACCTGCCTCAGATTACCATGGTTAATTAAATAGCACTTTGGTCCCCAAAAAAGTAGTATGTGCTGGGCTAACTGTAGAGTTTGGTGCCCGTATAAGGGAAGAGAAGCAAGATTATAATTTTGCCAATATTTTAAGACAAATGATAAGCAAATTCAGAAAAAGAGATGTTAACCTGCTTTTATTTAAAATTTCTCTTCTGCATCTATAGATGAAAAGTGAAATATTTAAGAGGCCAAACTAGCAAATTAACTTTTGTCTGGTAATCTAGCCACATTCCCAAAGGGATTCAAATATTGCCCTTTCAAAAGGGATTAAAGGGAGACATGGTGGAGTAGGCAACTCTCAACATGACAAAATCACCAGAGGTTTTAGTTCTAAATGTATATAGGAGATTTATTTTTCCATTGAAACATGTCTAATTTTATAGGCAACACCAATACAAGCAATCAAGTATTTTGTTTTTATTGTTATTCATAGAAAGTATTTTACAAGCAAACTTCCTTCATACTGGATGTTCCTTCAAGCAATAACATTAAGTAAAAATTAAAAACATGTTCTTTTGGATACCTGGCTCCCTACTTAAAAACCTGTGCTTGCATTTCAGTCAGACATGTTCTCCATTTCGTTGGATAATGGCACTGTGACCATGAACGTAAAGGGAATCAAGGTGCAATCGGCAGATAAGCAGTACAATGACGGGCTGTCACACTTCATCATTACCTCTGTCTCACCTGCAAGGTACGGTCTTCAAGATTTATTCTTTCCATGTGATGGCCTTATTTGTCAGGCATGATTCTGCCAAATGACCACTATGAATAATTGGCTATTCTATTACTTTTCTAGTGTTTAGAAAAATGATGGAAGGAGCTACTTGCCGCCTTAAAAAAAAATTGCTCTTAATTTTCAAGACATGCAAAATAAGTCACTATGAAATTACTTAACAAAAATATAACACACACACACACACACACACACACAGTAAAAATAGGCCGAGGACATGGAAGCATGGAACAGACTGACAGATCTCAGAAGGAAGATAGGGTGGGTGGGAAGAGATTAACCAAAGAATTTATATAAAGACATGCATAGCCCCTGGACACAGACAATAATAGTGCAGTAAATGCCTGGGGTAGGGTGGGAGCTGCATGGAGGGGGGCAAAGGAGGAAAATGGGGGACATCTGTAATGCTCTCAACAATAAAAATAAAACAAACAAACAAACAAACCATAGACTATCATCTCCTTGAGGAAAGTGCCTGACTCAGTGGAGGGCAGTTTTCTGCATAAAGGAGCTCAGCAAATGTTGGTTTCATTTCGTTTTACATCTGGCGGTTGAGAATGGAATACTTATGGGCCCATTTTAAAATCTCTAATTTTATCTTTAAAATATGTGATACTGAATTTCTTTTCCATAATAAGAAGCTTCCTGGGATAAGACATGAACCTCTGTTGTAGACTGCTCCTATTCTATGTCCACTTCCGTGGAGCCCTCCATCAAAGGAAAACATTAATAGGTCATTTCAGGACTCCATGTCCAATCAGGACCAAAACCATTCAATGGGCTTTACAATGAAATAATCTCCCACAAGCATGTGTAAATGATCACCAGGAGGAAGGTAGATCCTGATTTTTTTTTTCCACCAAAAAGAAAAGCAAACAACAACAAAACAATGCTGATGACTAGTCATCTTAACTTCTTCTTTTATGAGTTTAAATCTAATCCTGGTTTGGAGGGCCTTTTCTGTGTATGGAAACATTCAGTCATTTCATCCTAGGCCTCAGAAAGAGTCTGGAAAGCTATTGTCCTTTTATTAACCGGATGTCCCATTGCAATTCCCTGAAACCCAGAGTGGCACTCAAGGTAGAATGCTAGCTGTGTGTGCTGTAAAGATGCTTTTTCTCTTGCAGATATGAACTGATAGTAGATAAAAGCAGACTTGGGAGTAAGAATCCTACCAAAGGGAAAGCGGAACACACACAAGTAGATGAAAAGAAGTTTTACTTCGGTGGCTCGCCCATCAGTCCCCAGTATGCTAATTTTACCGGCTGTATAAGTAATGCCTACTTTACCAGGTATAATATTTTTATTTTTTTATAAACCCACATGGTTAATAAAGAAGATCAAGTCAATAATGACAATATTTGCATTATTCAAACAGAACTATGAAATTTATCAGAGGCATTAGGGTAGTCATTAGAAGCTTGTATAGGCTTGAGCAACTGACATACTTAGGTTTGTAATTAGCTTTTCTAGCCCTTTCATTTCTATTTGACTTTGGCAAAGTAAGCCTTTTTATATTCACCTGCAAATTCAGATAATAATAGTGCCTGCCTGGGATGCTTGTTATGAGGATTAAATGAGATAATGGGCATAAAGCACCTGGCATACAGCAAGCTGTAAATATTAGATGTGATTATTTCTGTACATCTTATTAATGATAGAGTACAGAGCAACATACCCAAATCCTTGTTACAGGTTTAAGAAAGTGTTCTTAATTTACTGCCTGACTTTAAACAAAGCCATTAATCTAGGTCCTTAACAAAGACAGTGAGGGCTCCCTGAGTATAAGAACTAGCAAGGGAGGAATTTAACACAGATTGAGTAATACAGAGGCGGCCGCAGTCATCGAGAGTGTGGTGAGGGAAACGACGTTCATCTGTCAGAATGTGTTGGTACTAGGCATGACGTTATTAATTAATTGGTTAAATGATCATTTTAAATATTCTGATTAAAATAGTGGTTGATGGATAAAGATCATCACACACACAAGAATTGTTTTAATTGCTCATTTCTCTGACTTCCGTAGTTTTCATTATGTAATTCTGAACAACATTTGTAAGGTATTTTTCCCTTTGTTACAAACACAGGTTGGACAGAGATGTGGAGGTCGAAGATTTCCAGCGGTACTCTGAAAAGGTCCACACTTCCCTTTACGAGTGTCCCATTGAAAATTCGCCATTGTTGCTCCTTCACAAAAAAGGAAAAAATTCCTCAAAGCCTAAAACAAGTCAGAATAGAAAGGTAAAAGTTAATGCTGTGCCAAGTGCCCGAACGCCCTAGTGTTCCATGCATGCAACTTCAGACACTGATGTTTTGTAGAATTTACTCTAATTTGCAACTATTCAAAGATAAGGTTCTTGTAGTAGCAGATATTCCAACTCACTGGCTTTGTAGCATCAATTCTTGTTCCTAAAGAAACAGTTTGAATCAGCTTTTACTCATACTTCCAACTACTTTTCACTAGCATGGTTAAAATTGCTCCATGCTTAACAATTGATATGTATATATCATATTATTAGTACTATTTATTTGCTTTTGTGTAACAATGGCAGGCTTTTGTCACAATCACGGAAATTGTTAAAGTTTCTGACCTTACCCTTGTTTCCCCCTCGTTCCTTCACCTTCACTTCAACCACTCACATGTATAATTGATCTATGGCATCAACCAGAGCTGCTCCATCATCGAACCTTGAGTTCTTCCATTGCATCCTCTGACTACCGTTCTTTCTCATTCTTTTAGTCTAACCTTTCCCACCCACTGCCCACACCTTCCTGGTCCGATTTTAACAATAAGCTCAGGTTCCAATGTCCCCACCTGGTCCAAGCCACCGTCATCTCACATCTGTATTGTGGCAATAGCCTCTTACCAGGCCTCCCTGCTTCTGTATGGTTTCCCAAGAGTTTCTTCTCAACACAAGGGCCAGATCCTTATAAACACAGCACATCCCCAAAACATGTGTACACACTTTCACAGCTGATAGCTCAATTGATGTTTCTTTCTTTTCAGCCAGATTAAGCTTTGAACAATTGAAATTCATCCTAAAATGCTACTGGGAATTTGAAACACAGTTGTAGTACGAGCACTGCCTTTATAATTATTCAAAGTGTGTATACACTTTTTGGGATACCCTGTATTTATAAGGTGATAACTCACTGAATTTTCACTCCTTTTCAGGTTTAACTGATTTGAGATAATGGGTGAAGCCAGACTAAGCTTTGAACAAAGAAAACTAATCCACTAGACTTTTTTATGGGGATACATAAACGATAAAATTTACGGCACAAAACCGGCAACAGTTGATGGATTGAGGGTGCACAAATACCAAACAAAATGATTCTTAATGTTTGCGATTCCATTGCTTTGAGTTATCAGCAGTGCCTGGACCAGAACAGTCATCAGTTTGAAAATAGGCGTTGACAAAAGTATTCATTTCTGCGGATTCTTTTAAAGTCTGAAAATGAACTGTATGTTAATAAACACTGACTTTTATAATCATTCAAAGTGTGTATACATTTTTTGGAACCTTACATAAGGCATATTATGTCACTCCTCTGCTCAAAGTGGACCCCAGCTGCACTCAGAACAAAAGCCCACGTTCCTACATCGTCATGAGAGGCCTTATATTACTACCCAGGCCCCTTTTCCTCGCTAGCTCTTCTCCCCACACTGATCTCCTGGCTATTCCTAGAGTGGACTATGGACACTCCAGCCGTATGGTCTTTACTTCAGCTTTCCTTCTGCCCTAGACCACTCTTTCCCCAGTGTCAGCACAGATAGCTCCTCCTCCTCTCACTCAACTCTCCTGTGCTAGGTGAGGCTGACTTTACACCACAGCCTTCCTCCTGCCTTCCACAGTACTGGCTTCCTTTTTCTAGTTCTTTTTCCCACAGCATTTGCCACATTTTAATTGATTATATACTTTATTTATTATGTTTGGTTGGTTTTAGGAGAGCTGGCTGATACCTTTATTGCTTGAGGGGAGGGGTGCTCAGGAGCTCCTGGTGGGGCGGGCCCGCTTCCTCTTCACCATCACAGGCTTCTGGCTGCGCAGATCCTGGCGGTACCTGTTCTTGCGGATCATGTGCCGGAGGCTGCTCAGGGTGGCCCGCGCGTTCTTGTTGAAGGTGGTCTGCAGGTAGGAGGTGGCCGGCTTTCGCTGGCCGGATCTCCGCTTCATGATGACCACCACACCTTTGCCGTGGGCGCCGGCTCCACGCCCACCATCTTGCGGTGAACAAGCCCTTTGTAGCGAAAGGAGTTGCGGGCCTTCAGGTTATTGGGTTCGGTGCTGAACGCCTGCTGGTTCCTCTTGATCAGAAGCCCGAGCAGTTCCACACGATCATCTATGGCACATGGGCAGACCTGGCGGCAGCTCCTTTATTGTCTGTCTCCTCAGCTAGAATACAAGCCCCTTTGTTTTGTTCATTGATTTATCCTAAGAGCCTAGAGCAATGCACATAATAGGTGTTCAATAAATATTTAGCAATCTGCATCATAGAGTTGCTATAAGGATTAAATGAGTTGATGCATGAAATGCTCTTAACACAGTGCCTGGCATGGAGTAAACATTCAGTAACTGTGAGCTGTTATATTTCTATAAAGTCTCAGGAGTGTTCCTAAAAGTGGAATTGCTTAGATTAAGGGAATGTGCATTTGCAATACTGACTTAGAGTCTCACAAATGACATTTGAAAAAAACCTATTGTTCCACACAATTGCTAACACAGGATATGGTCACATTTTTATAATTTAGTCAATTTAATGGACAAAGTTGGCATCTGATTGTGGTTTACATGTTCTTGAATGCCAGTGAGGTTGAGCATCTTTGCAGGGGAAGAAGTGATTTCTTTCCAAGACTGGCTTTTGAACCATCAGCAGAGGGAAGCATCACCCCCCACCCCAAACCCCCAGCTTCTCACTTCGGATGGTTTTTCACTGCCCATTATAGCTTGGTTTTTCACTGACCATATAGTTCAGCTTACAATAGAACACTTTTTAGAATCCCCATGAAACTTCCCTTTGTTCACACATGATTTCTTTATCAATGTTAATAATTTTGTTCATGTACTAGTATAATCAAATCTTAGAAGTTTTGGGGGATCCCTATCTGAATTTCACATGGAAGACTTTATAAAGTGATTCAGGCAGAGAAATAATTTCATTTATTTTTATGAAGGATTTTGCTAGGGGATACTTTGAAGGATTTTTTCAGAGGAGATTATTAAATTTTGATGAAATCTTACTGTCACCTTTATATACTGATACTAAAAGATTTATCCTGAGAATTTTTTAGGGGGGACTTGAACACTGTCAGGTGATCGTAGACAGCAGGTTAATGTCATAGGCTGATGAGGAAGATCAACCTTCTAAAGCAAACACAGTTTATCTCTTTAAATGAATACAGTTTTCTGGATGAAGCTGTCTATCAAATGTAATTTCCTAAACAAACATTCATCGTCTCAAGGTTACAATCAATAGTTGCTATTGGAACTATTAACACAAACTTTTCAATATTATAATAGCCTCTTAGTCTTTATGGTAAAAAGTCTTAGAAACTCAATTTTGTAATAAGACACAAAATCACTATAGATTTCACTTATATTTTTTAATAATTAGAAGGTCAGTGTTTGCTAATCTTCCCTTGTATTTGCCCTTTTATCAAAAGCTCCTTAAATAGCTACCAAGAAAAACTTGTGGCCTCAGGTTTAAGTTTTCATCAAGGCTGAATCATAGCAATTAGGCCTCATAATAATTTATTTTCACAATAACTTACTAATATTCCATTTTATGCATTTATTATAATTAATTTAACCACGAATAGACTCTCAGTTGTTTCCAGTTTCTTCTCTTTTATAGATGAAGATCATAGTACATTAATCTTTAATCATATTACTGAATAACTTGTTAGGATATATTCCTAGAGGCAGGATTATTGGATCAAAACAAATTACTTTCCAGAAAGGTAAAAGTTACTTTATATTTCCTCGTGAGTATATAAGAGTACTTATCTTACCACTATGTTCCAGCCTGAAATTTTTTTTGTGATATTTATGTTTTCAAATTTAATTGGGAAAGTATCTCCTCATGTGGTGTTTAATGTGATAATAAACATTCTCTACATTGTAATAGACAGTCTAGATATCTGGCCAACTACTCCCTTCTCTGAAAACTGATTCCCTCCCTACTGGGGGGCCCAGTATTTTAGGTTTGTGACTTCATCTACCTTGATATAGATGATTGGACCAGGGTACTCAGCTGAGCCATCATGTTCTCTTCTTGGAAACTCAGAACCCAAAGAGACGCCTCTGGGCTGGTCATTGACTAGAAAACATGCAAGCCTAAGAGCTCTGTGTTAATCATGCTCAGATAAAGAAGAGAAAAAGGCAGAAAGCTGCCCTGTAGAGAAAGAAGAATGATAACAGACACTCTGAGAAAAACAAAGCTGAAATTCCAGAAACATCCAGAAAAGGAGTGTCTTGATTCTTCCTAGCTTTCTAATTCCTGATTCTTGCCCCTGGTAGGAACCACTCAACTATCTTCCCTTGGATTGTGTTCTTAAGATACTACCATAGCTTTATAACACATTGCCCTCTTTTTCTTAAGTACCTTAACTAGTTTGGCTATTGTCTGAAACAAAATGATCTTGCTAAATTGAAATTGGTGCCACCAATTGGATTGCAACTAATAGACCCTCAGAAAAATAAATTACATTGATAAAGTCGGAGTCTAATGGGGTTCAGGGAGAATCCCCACACACATAGCCATTTTAAATAATAAGCTGAGTCTCTATTTATGGTAATGAAGTAATTGATTAAATTATAACTTCTCTTTTTATTACAATTAATATTCAGAGCATATATCCACAGAGGGTTTATGGTATTTAGTTGCCATATATAAAGATATCAGAGTTCACTAATTTTCTCAGCAGACAAGAAACAGATCCTGGTCCATATATTCCCACATTGAAGCAGAGAAAGGCAGGGCTGGTGAATTGAGACTGTCATGGTCCAGTAACCTCCTGCTTGGCTGAGCCCCTGTGATCTAATCACTGTCGCTCCTCCCATAGGTAAGTGGATGCACCGACTGAGAAAGAGTGAGATCATCTCCGTAGAAATGGAGAGAATCAGGAATAGCCAGAATTGGAGCCAGAACTCCCAGTCCCCACCAACCTCTCACCCCCACCTTCGATGAGACATTTCCTATGCCCTTCGATGAGGCAAACGTGATCATATCTCCCATTATAAGGCATGCTGCTCCCCTGAGGTTGGAATACAGCATGGAGTTTGGGGAAGTTTCCGAAGATATGTTAGAGGGGAAGTTTCCAGGAAGCCCCACTCCATCCCATTCTGCCCACTCATGACCGGGATGATGAGGGCCTGGGCCAAAAGAACATTGGTAACTGCACATACTTCCTCCCCCAAGAGAAAAACCTGCTTCTGTACCCGAGAACCAGGTTCTGAGTCCTGACTACTATGTGAGGAAGGGAAGAGGGGACGGTGGAACCAGGTGGGTTTTTCTTTAGGAGGTTGAGTCTCCAAGCACCACCTCACTTTCTCTAATCTAACTACCACCCTTAGATTCTCCAGGGCCAGAACCAGACTGAGATATCAAACCATGAATCTTATGCTATCTCCTGGAAATATCTCCTGGAAATTTTTACACTGCTTTGTTCTTAGAAACCCTCCTAGATTTCAGGACTATGATGGATATATTTTAATGTGTATAGTTCTTTTGATATTTCAATGGGACTTAGGGAGGGGTGAAAACTAAAGGTGTGAGTTCATTCAATAATCTGGAACCAGGATTTTTCCCACTATCTAATCCTGGATCTCATCCTGATTTGCTGTGTTCTCCAGTTCTCTCTACTACAAACATTTCCTCTCCTCTCTTCCCTTCCTTTGTTGCAAGCTTTCTTCCTAAGTGGGTCAAATCACACCACTCCCCACTTTTCAAACCTATGGGGCTCCTCACCACCTAAAAAATAAAACCCAAAGCTCCAGCAACTCATCTAAGGTTCTTTCTATCTGGTAACAACCTGTCTTCCAATTTGCTATTTATATATCCATTCTTCAAATAGATTTTCAGTTTCTTAAAATCCAGGCACCATTTCTCACTCACTTTTCTATTCCCCACCATACACCACTGCCCATGGAAGGCTTACAGAAACATTGATTTCTTTCTCCTTCACTTCTATTAGGTAATCAATAAACACTTGCTTGAATAAATGAATCAATGCCTGAATGATCAAATTTATTTGCATTTACTTTTGCTTCAAAAAGTAAGACTAAATAACCATAATTTCACAACTCTAAATTTTAAAATCAGTAGTGCAATTTTAAAGCACAGGTAATTTTTTAAATTGTTCTATCTCCTGTCCCATAAACGTTTAGTACATAGCTTATTACCAAAAAATATTTTGAAGCTGTTGCTAGGTATTTTAACGTTTTGCACAGCATGTGTAAATAATAATATGTGTGTGTTAAAGTGATACTGTTGCCTATAATATGTGCATTTTATTGATTGATACTCTAGGGTTATTTTATTGCCAACTTTTTTTAGGGATCAATCAATTGGCTGCCTCCTGCATGATCCCTAAAAAAAGTTGTCTAGCTCATGATATTACTTTCTTTTCCTTTTTCCCTACTAAAGCACCTACACTCACATTTCTCAGCCCTCCATTAAATTTCAGTGATAAGAACTCAGAAACATGGACAGCTTAAAATGCATAGCAACTAGCACAATTTATGTTCCCCATAAACATTAACTATTAATAGCAGGAAAAATTAAAAAGTGATTTATAAGGAGACATATTGAGTGAACATTACTAAGATGCCCCAGTTTGCAATGGGTCTCTTGGAGTGAGCATGGCTATTCTCAAGAAGAATTCATTTTCTTTCATCGCTGCAATAGCAGCTCCTACTACCTGCATCTGATCTCACTTCTTCTTTCCTATAAAATGCTCAGCAGCACTGGTGGAAGCTATCTTTATTTGTTTAAAAATTGTTTTATAATACAGATCTCATCAAGTCAGCTTTCTCGTTCAATGAATTCAAAATAAAGTCTGACTTCCATATATTTGCACACTAAAGCCCTTCCACCATGCCTCCTCCTCCCCTTAAGAGGACAATCCAGCCACACGGGCCTCCACAGTGCTCTCCAAACACTCCAGCCTCTGGACCTAGTGTACCCTTTCCTCCTTTCTCACTTTGGACATATTAAATGGTCCTCCTCCCCTGAGCTCCCACAGCCATAGTGTATTTTCAACATGCTGTCCCCACCCCATACTCCACAAGAGTGATGTGCTACTATCTCAGTTCCCCACAGAGCTTTCCACAGTGTGTTTGACTTAAAAAAAATTCCACTTTCTACTTTTCTACTAAAAATGGCATCATACTTTCAAATATACATACAAAAATATATTTTTACAAAGCGACACCATAGTTACAAAATTTAGGTTGCTGTTCTTGAGACCTACTAGTATTTCTCTCCACAGATGAGTCTTTCAACATTGGATTGAAGTTTGAGATTGCCTTTGAAGTCCGTCCCAGCAGCCGATTGATGATTCTCTCTCATCATTGATGTTTCTATCTCTCTATCTCCCTTCCTCTCTGAAATCAATAAAAACATATTTTTAAAAATAATAAAAAATAAATGATAGAACATTATCCTTATAGCTTCAGTTTAATTCTGCTTTACTATCATAGACTAGAATTTTGGATTTGTTAACATACTGTATTGTTGCTTGTTGCTGTTACTGCTTCACCTCCTGCTGTCATTTGCTTATAGTGGTAAGCATGAGTAACCATATCATTAATGGGAAATGCACAAATAGTACACACTTTGTTTTATTGTTGTTGTTGTTGTTGGATAAGGAAATAACAAATAAATTTTTGCTATTGGTATGTCACTTTTATCCCTTAGTATCATTTATTTGCTATTCTTATAGGGAGAGAAAAATAAAGACGCACCTTCAGGAGATCCTATTGGCCTGAAATTCCTAGAGAAGAATGCTCCAAGAGACTCTCACTGCCACCTCTCCAACAGCCCTAGAGCAATAGAGCACGCCTATCAGTACGGAGGAACCGCCAACAGCCGCCAAGAGTTTGAACACTTGAAAGGAGATTTTGGTGAAAAGTAAAGTAACATACTATCCCTCCAGAAACGTAATACCCTGACCAGCCTTCATCCTTATTTGCATATGTGTATTTCCAGGGTCTTTCCTTATCAACCTTCCAGCAGTTCAGAAGCATTCCCACTTACAATCTG